AATTGTCCCTTCCCCTCCCCCCTCATCCATCTAGGGGAAATTGGGACTCTGAGGCGCCTTAAGGACCTAAAAAAGAACTTTTTTTACCAGCTCCTCATTTGACACAAAGAAGGGAATCGGTTAACGTGCTTACATGCTTTTTGAAACCAAGTTCAGACCATGAGATGGTTCATTTAAGAGACAAATGTCTCTTACTCTGTACGAACTACCATTAACCCTGCTACATGTGAAAATTCGAACCTTAGTTAGAACCTTCGAAAGGGACCATCAAATAACTGGCGGTAAGGCCGCAAATACGTTACTGAGCCGAATCCGTGTATATACAATATATCAGATTAGAGACCAACTTCGGCGAATAGTTGCTGATTATCCACTTTCACGAGAGAAAGATTCAGACTTGTGTTTCATACCAATTTTATTAATAATTTGACATTTTTTCTTCTTATCATCGCAAATCATGGGCATATAGTTCGATCAGGACGCTTATCACCTACAATAACGTCACCACAGACGTGCACAAGTAAAACAACATCAAAACAGCCAAGCAAAAAAAGCGAAAGAAACATTTAGAGTATTTCGACATATTTTTGGAAAATCTGACACCTATCGTTGGCACAAACGTTGTCAAATGAAAATTACAGATGATTCCCATACAAATGTCGATTATTTGTGTACGGAAAGATTTTTTTTAAATAGGAAAATTTCTAGTACCTTAAAGCTGCTTAAACTGGGGCGTTAGATACCATTTGTAATGCGCATGTTCCAAAGCTTACGAGAGGCAATGACTTTTTCAAGCTTCTCAGTTTGTTTTAATTTATCTAAAAATCATTAATAATTCGTCAGAATCGACTTGTACATTTCACGATCTTATCTGTGTTCACACTTAACTTATCTCTTCGAAAGACATGTCCGTCTTTTCAATCGACATGTTTGTGACACAGCACAATGAACTTTAAAAGACTTTTACTTCACAAAATTATTCAGAACATATACTTATATATCTACTAAGGCTCCTAACATGTAATTTTTTCTTTCACTGATGCTAGAAGTCCTTGCGCTCATCAGTTTAAAGAAAGTGTTCTGCACGTTAAATTTGATATATAACAACTCGTATGCGAATTTTTTTTTGTTAAAGAATTAAAACTTATAAACCAACTATATTTTAAGCTGGCGTAAATAGCTTTTCTCTGAACGAAGTTTCAAAGTACGCATTGCAGACCTGCTCTCAGGCGCTCGTTCAGAGCTCTTTTGACCGCAATTCCTGGTGATGCTGGTTCAATTCTAGCGCATACACCATTCAAACTCGATCACGTGCTCCGTGATGTTCAAATGACACTCTTCCCTACCTATCCCATAATACACATTGGTGTTCTTACACTGAATAGTTTCTTCACAAAGGCTTACAGCGTATCCTTTGTTCATCAAATCAAACATGGTCATAGCCACAAAAGTTTTCATCTCAGCATCTTTTAAAGGACAGACTACAGGCTCCGTTTCTTTCACGCGTCGTTGCACGTTTTCCAGCGTGTCGCGAATTTGCGCTGAGCCCGCTCGTTTCGCGGGATTGGAAACGATCAGGCTGTGCGCATGCGGCCCAACGCAGTCTCCGCATTCCATAATCTTTTTATGATCCTCTTGCGACAGCAGGCTTACTTTACTTGAGGACGTCAAGTTTTCAAGACTCTTGTTTTGTGCGCAAATGAGGATCTGTTGTTGCCACTTTTCAAAATCGCATCCAAGTTTAGATTTCTTTGCTTCTTCCAATTTGTGCGCGAAGACGTTGGAGAAACGTTCTAAAGTGTCTATCAAGCCTTCTATTTGATAGAACTGAGCTTCTTTGTAAACCTTTGAAAGCAATTGCATGAGAAATGGAGACTGAAATGACTTAAAGAACCTTTTGAACGACTAGGAGCCATATTTTTCCAGGATAGAAGCCCTTCTCAAGTTTTACTGGAACACCCCACTTTTTTCGGCGGTACAATAATAGTGTTACCAGCAATGGGGAGGGGGTGGAGGAGGTTGGGGTAGATGTTGTGGCGAGGATTGCATATGTTATTGTGGAGATGCTTTGACAAGTGCCATTGTAACTTTAACGTAACCCAATTCAATCATAATGCTGGCGCTATGGTCAGTGGTACTATTTTCAGTTTTTCAACATTTCGATGAGCACTACAAGTCAACTTCGGAAACGATGCTGTAATGAAGAGGTATCCATTCACACAACTAAAAGCTATCTCAAGAGTTATTGGTCCTTTCGTTGAAATTCATGATCTTAAAAATTGAATAGCAATTATGTCTCCTCTACAACGTTTAATACATATAATACAGCCTTTTAATTATCCCATTTTTACCGGAGTTGAACGAATGCGAGATTTGGAGTAAAGCTGAGCAAGAAAGTAATTAAATATGAAGCTTAGCACGCCCTGGGATAATTAAGCAAAAGAAATGTGTATCAATAAAGAAAATGTTGTTGTTCATGGTGGTTTAATAGATGAATGAACGCTAATCGTTTGTATCACGGTTTAGATTCAGGTGAATCAATTGTGAATTGATCGCGACGTTTCGACTGCTATACTGCTAGTCTACTTCAATTATTTTCGTATGTTCAAGGTACGCATTCTCTCTACCAAGCAAGTCTTATCATTTCTGATTTTTTTCTCTTTGTTCTATGCGATTTCTAACTGGAAAGGACATATTCTAACGTATTCGATACGTCACATATCTTTGTGTTTAAGAATGCGGTAATCTTCTTTCGTATGCCTTGCCTCCTCCACTCAATTAACTGCCAATCAAAGGAGAACTGAATTTACCCATCGGTCACTTCGGGAATTAAAGGCTTACAGAAATCTCCCTCTTACCTCGAGAGCTCGGTCAGCGGATGGTAACTGTTTACTGTCTCGGAGATAATTCAAGATATCTTTGAAGTGGGTTCCATCCCGGTCAATAAAATATCTCCCATCACCATCTGTGTCCAGTTCGTGCCGGCCACTAAACATAGTAGCTAACATAGAGTCTTTGTCCTTGGTCAGTGTGGACAGAGTAGTTACAAAGTGGTATCCACCGACATTGAGAGTTATCACCCGGGGTAGAGCCTATATGGAGGAAAACAAGAACAAGGAAATGATAAGTTAGAGTAAAGGTGAAAGCTATAGACGGTTCCTTGTCATTTACGGTTTTTTTTTTTTTTTTTGTTAAATTTTTAACTCGAAACCCACATCTCGCGGGGCCGCACGGCTTTTACCAGCACTACTCACGCCTTCGTTTACGGCCCTCATAAGGGGGAATTTTCCCCGCACGGGGCGGTGCGGGTTATTTGTTACGACCACTAGTGACTTCCACTCGAATGTGAGGCGAGAACTATCAGATACCAGGACTGACAGCGGTTGTGGAATATGGCCGACATAGCATCAACGATTGGAGATCCAAGGGGCATACCCGTACTAAGAATTCCAAGAAACAACAATGCAGTATACCACGACTACCATCTTCGAGACGTCATGCTTCTATCGGCAATTTCACGCAACGCTTTCACCAAACGCATCTCTTGGGGTACGTGCGTGACAACGCACAGAACGGCTTCAGTTTGCTTCAATCTAAACAAAGTGTTTGATTTAAAAGCCAGAACAAGATAAACCGACTCATGAAAACCTTGTTAACCGAAATACTGAAATACATAAAAATTGCAGAAGATGGCGTGACATGTCAAGAAACAATACCGAAAAAACCCCATTTCGGTGTCTCGATTTCTGCGATTTTGATTTTGATATCGCGAGGTCAAAGAGGTCATACACGCGCACGAACAGTTGAAAATCGAAATGGTTAGTTCCCACCCACATTTCATTCGATTCGTGCTGTCTTAAGATATCAACATCCTCTTCATCGCGTTGCAGTTTTTCTTGAAATTTTAGGTCAAGTTTTTTAAATCGGTTGAGTCCTAGATCCTCGCGGCCCAGCCAAAACTTAGGTAGGAAGTGACGCCCCGCTAGAGACATTTTCAAGGGCAATTAAATGTTTTGTAAAATCATTTGTAAACTTGCCGAGACCGTACATACCGCTTCACTGTGTCCAACCATAGCTACAAGTTTTGTCTTTGAGAGAACTACTTTTCACATGAGACTTTTGCAGCAGTACATCGATTAAGTAACAACTTGCGCAAGCGGCAAAGATGCGTACGAGAAGGAGGTGTTGAAAGGTTTCACAATCGCACTGTATGGGAATGAAAAAGAAGAGGTTTATGTTTCCTTTTTTGTACATGAAGGCGTCGAAAATTAGATGAAATATGAACTTAATGGATTATCTGTTCACTCTAGCTGTGACGGCCAAATATCAGTTCAAAATGGTTGCATAAGTGGACTCGGGCTTTTAAAAAGTTCCTGATAGTCGTTAAAAGTCTTTGTTTTGGATAAATGACGGGAGCTTTGTTTCCTATTTAAGCAGGGTTATCAATTTTATTTCCTGTGGGAAAATCAACTTAAGCCTGCCTACGTCTAGATAAGCAGATTAAATTAATCTCTTTTGCTAAGCGTAACCTGTATAAGTAGACAGCTTAATGATATAACTGAGTTTTGTCTCTTTCTTTTGCGTTTTAAGATTACTTTTGAAAAATTCGCTTTAGTAATTCAATTTTAATCAGTCTGCTTGCTCAGACTCCAGAAGTGGCTGATTTCTCTTACTCTGCTTTGATATTGCGCAATGTACGTACTAAAAAATAAAATTAGTTGACTCTACGGACACCTAAGAATCTTCATCCATCAACAGTTTCAAACGGTTGACTTGGAAAGATCTCCAGTGTCACTTATTGCACAGCTGGCAGTTTTGTGTGCACCTTGCTGTGTGCGCCAAGTCAAAAGATATGAAAGGTAAAATTAAAGGTAAAATTAAAGATAAAATTCGTAAAGGTAAAATTAAAAAATTAAAGGTAAAATCGTGGTAAATTATTTTCGGGCCCAAGCCTCTCGCGGCGTCGCCCACTCATCACAAAACCGCCAGCTACGCAAAAGAGCGATGAATAATTATTGGTGCTGGCACAGTTCCGCACTGTTTGAGATTTTACATTAATTGCAATTTTTTCTGCGGGCCTTTGGCTAAAATTTGTATTACTAGTGTTACAATGCCCTGTTGGGAAATCAAAAGCAATAAAATATCAATTGCATTGTATTTTTTAGTCCAAATGTCTGCGTAATGCAGGTTTCAATGTGATCATACCTCAACAGAGCGCCTGAATGAAGTCAGCTGGCCTTCAACCTTAAAAAAGACCTATAATTTTTATACTGAGAAGTTTAAAATTTTAGAATTTTAGTCTCAGCCGTCAATAAAGCCATTTGATATTAGTCGATGACTCTCATATGGATATTCCTAGGTGACCAGCATCTAATTTGTCCCTACGATATCACCCCTGAACCACACATTCTGGTCACGAGAGTAAAGGAAATGGTCACCATCTAAAGAAACTCTTGATTGTTTAACAAATTCTGCTTGTCAGCAGCTTAGGAAATAGATAGAGAACAGTATAGAGAATATGCATACTGATGTTAGCATGCAACGGGTTAAGTACTGAAAATAGAATCAAGGTGTGTTGTATATAAACAATCGGCTTAAATATTTGGTTCTGTACAAGCCCTTTTCAGTGGAACCTCGATTTAACGAGGTGCCAAGGGACTGGGGAAATTGGTTCGTTACAACGAGCGTTCGTTATATCGAGGTTCTCTGACTTACATTTAACTGTAACTTTAGCCGGGCTGAAACTGAAGTATAGTTTGTTATACCGAGGACTTCGTTATATAGAGGTTCGTTAAATCGAGGTTCCACTGTGTTCATATTTATTCACACCTTTTCTGTTACTCATAGTTACGGCGACTTCTTGCTGAAAAGACTTTGTGTGTCGCGAGTATCGTGCGTACATGAGGAAGAGTCCGCTGGCGCCAGGCGGAAGTAGCTACTGCAAGGTGGCATCCATCCCATTAATCACCGCGCGCTTCTGTCAAAGACGACGACAATTACAATTGCAGAGATGGACAATGAAAACTTTTTCTGTTTTTCGTTTATTTCCGGAAGACAAGAATGTGTTCTAAATTCTGAGATGAAAACTGCCTTACCAAAATGAAAAAAGGTAATGCCGGCCTTGTTCAGTTGTCTTGAACATTTTGTTCAAAAGTTTTAAAATAAGTGTCTTAATGGGATGATGGCTTTTACAGTTAAAATGTTGGCTATTTTACGGCTATCGTTTAACCCGATGAGACCCTCTGAAATGCTTGTAGGAGATTATGGGAGGGAAGTATACGCTTTTTCTTTCTAAAAAGGTTAAATACCTATCGTTTTACTTAATTTCTCTCTCTTAAAAACGTTTCTCTTGTAAGTTACATTTGAAAAATGTATAACAGCACAAGTGGTACGTATATAATAGAAGATATTCTCGATTCATTTGAGCGTTCATTGCTGGCATTGTCTCCACGCCTCAGCGTCAACGGTATCTTTATCCGCATGTTTCACTTCAATGTCCGCAACTCCAGACACGGTGTTGGATAGGAATTCCAGTAAATTTATTTCAAACAAGTGACCATTAATTAATTTTGAAGCTCACGCCAAAGAATTTTGCAGAACAAGCTATATTAATTTTTTTGCGTTTTTCTGGCGCGCGGAAGGTGATGCGAGACGAGCGCGAGGAGCGAGACGTGCACGAGGATAATCTCACCCCTTGCGTTTCCATGGTGCTTGCCTGAACCACGCAAAAATGACGCGTTTTCTATGGACTACTCCCAAGAGGTGCGGACAGGGGAGAAGGAGGCCAGAAAGGTAAGGGGTGGGAGGGGCCTGGGACACAGGAGATGAAAGGGCACGGGGTAGGAAATTTATACGGGGGAGGGGGAGGAACATAAAAAGGGGAACATCTGTTTACCTATAATTTACAGTGTCTCGATAAAGTGGAGGGGGTCGGCAAGTTGTGGCGAGCGCGATTCCTCCCTATCCCTCCCCCCCATTCCTTCGCTGATAAGAGCTAGCCAAGGTCGCTTAATCACCATTCAAACTCGACCACGTGTTCCGTTAGGTTAAACCGACACTCCTCTTTTCCTATCCCATAATGCAACTTGACATTCTTACAACGGATTTTTTCGTCACGAAAGCTAACGCAGTACCCATTATTTCTAAAGTCGGCCTCGGTGATGCTTATGAACATTTTCATATCCGCATTCGTGAGAATACAAACAACAAGTTCAGTTTCCTTGAACCGTCGCTGTACGTAATCAAATGTCTCCTGATGATGAATTACCCCCTGTTTAGCAGGTTTGGATACTACCAGATTGTGCGCATGCGGACCGACGCAGTCTCCGCATTCCATAATCTTTTTATGATCCTCTTCCGACAGCAGGCTCACTTTACTTGTAGACGTCAGGTTTTGGAGACTCTTGTTTTGCGCGCGAGTGATGATATCTTGTTGCCACTTTTCAAAATCGCTTCCCAGCCTAGATTTCTTTTTCTCTTCTAGTTTTTGTGCAAAGACGTTGGAGAAACGTTCTAGAGTGTTGATCAAGCCTTGTATTTGGTAGAATTGTGCTTCCTTGTAAACCTGCCGTAAATAAATACTCTTTAAACCTTTATAGAGCAAACTTTATTTATCACTGTAATTTCCCCTCGCCTTCTGCTTTCAGTTATGGTGAAAAGTAGGGGCCGCTCCTCGTAAGAGGTAGAATTTCGCAAAAATTGGACTTTATAGTGGCTTTAATGATAATGATAGTAATAATAATAATAATAATAATAATAATAATTAAATTTGTAAAGTTGTAACATGAACAATGAACATCGCGTACTATTTAACTCTTTGCCTTCAAAAATTCTGTGGATTATTAGAAACTTAGGAAGAGATCGTCGCTGATTAACTCTTTCATAGTCGAAATAAGTAATAGATTTTTAAAGAATTTATAATGACTATTTTAGATTTGGATACCCGAAATAGCTTATCTTTTTTATTTCTCGAGGTTTTTTTGTTTTTTTGTTCCGTATATAGATTTTGATTTCACTATAGTTAACGGGCTACGCTCATGCACCCCGTTATACTATTCTTATTGTTTATAGAATACAAAAGTTTTAAACTGCTGCGTGATAATAATAGTAATTTAGTACTGGGAGCATATGCACAAGTTCTCTATGCTCTTACAATGCCAGAAAATAAAAAACCTATAAAAGCGGGCTGTCGCCGGTCAAAACCTGTAGAAAATATATTTACCCTGCCTGCGCCTAAAGACTCAAGATAACTATAGGAAGAAGTTCTTACAGAAGTATTTCCTAGAAGAGTTCTTACCTCGAGAGCTCTGTCAGAGGATGGAAGCTGTGTGCTGTCTCGAAGATAATTTAGGATATCTTTGAAGTACGTTCCATCCCGGTCAATGAAATATCTCCCTTCACTGTCAGTTTCCAGTTCGTGCCGGCCACTAAACATGGCGGCTAACATAGAGTCTTTATCCTTGGTCAGTGTGGACAACTTAGTTTCAAAATAGTGTCCACCAACATTGAGTGCTATCACCCGAGGTAGAGACTGCATCTGAAAAAAGAAACAAGTCAGGGTAAACTCCCTTTTTTTCCTTCGCTTTACCAACAAAAGACATTTCTCGCATCACAGCCCATCCCACCCACTGGAGAAGCGAAAGGAGTTGAGTTGTTCTACCTTAAAGGTTCAAGCCTGAAAAAAAAAAAAAAAAAGAAAGGTATATGGCGAATGAAAACGAGAGGGAATAAAAACGGAAAGAGGGTTAATTCCGATGACGGCATAAAGGAGCGGTCTCTAAAAGTAAAGAGCTTGGAGAAATTGGGAAACTCACTAAATTTTCGTGCTCCTGTTCGTTGTGTCCAACCATGCTTAAGTTGCACTTTGACAAAGGTATTCCTTGCATTGAGGTTCAAAAGTTACAAATCTTCGTACAGTGAGGCGCGGCGACGCTTGCTTAAGCTGGAAAAATATATTTACAAGCAAGATGTTAGAATGTCAGCCTACATCCTATTAGAATACTTTGATCGTAATATTTTTCTAGGTATAGTTTATTTTCATCTGTGACATCTCGTTACGTGATTAGGAGTGTTTTGTGAGAGAAAACGTTTTTGGAATGCTAGGATTTCTAGTTACGGTCCAGCCATTAATAGGGAGCTTTAGCAACGAGAGCGGCAACGGCAGCGAGAACGGCACAAAACAACAGGCTTAATGAGCAAAACCGATCGCCCTGCACGTGCTTTAACATTTTGGTACATTTCTTTGCCCTTCTCGGCAAATCAACAACGTGAAATAACCAAATTTTAGGTTTTCTCGAGAACGTGAGCGGATGACGGTTAATTTTTCTTTCTTTTTCCTTACTTTAACGCCGTTCGTAATGATATAGTCTCTGAATAGTTCGCCAGCATTTTTCCAGTTAAACACATCGGAATAATCTCGAAAGAGTTACAAAAACGAAAAGTTAGATTTCGACACGACGTTTTCGTTGCCATTGCCCTCGTCTTTGCTAAAGCTCCCTAATAGGTAATTTAAGCAAACCACGACGGCGACGGCAACGAGAACGTGGAAAAACAATACATCTAATTGGCAGAACAATAGCCCAGCACGTGCGTTTTAAAACTTTGTACATTTCTTAGCCGTCCTTTGCAAAACAACAACGTGAAATCACCAAAATTTGCGTCGTCCTGCGAACTGAAACCGCGGCGGAAAATTATTTGAATTTACATTTAGAACTCAAGGCTACTTTTATGCGTTATGTTGAGTTTGAGGTCTGGCGCCCTATGAGACGGTAAACACATGCAGCCGTTTTCGAAATTCTAACGAAAAGTAGAAACTCATTTTTTAATCGACGTCTTCCGTGGCGTTGCAGTCCTGACTGCTTAAGTTCCCTACTCATTGCGGGGAGGGGGGGAGTGGAGGATTGTAAGGGGGGTGGCCATGGGGAAAGGGCATAGAAGGGGGGGGTCAGTCGCCGTCAATAGCGTATAAAGAGGGGATGAGGCAAATTTTATTGTGACATGAGTATTTTAGGGAGTTTTGAAACCTGGTTTGTTTATTTGTTTGTTACTTCCTCAAGAAGACATCAGTTGCCTTGGAAATTTGAAGGATTGCAGGCTGAAAAAATCCGCCCAAAAAGGCTACCTTCTAAGCAGAATGATAAAGATTCATTCATAGGTTGCGAGAGCTAAAAAATAGCAACCTGTCACCAGGCTATCAATGACAGCGTAGTACATGCCGTGAAGCCGGGTGAAAGGGGCTGGGGAGATGCATGCAGCCGAGGTGCATATCGTTACGAGACGGCTTGATTCGTCGGCTTATCGTCATGGTGACCGATGTGGGGATTATCTTGGTTCCGGTACTGCCCAAGGAAAAGTATTTATGGTACTGTAATGCTAAGGATTTATTAGATAATCCTGTACATTCACTGTAAGAAACGCCGCTTGGCTTTACAACTGAGACCACTGCGGAAGCAATTCTGGTCGACTTACACTGGTATTTGTTTCTGGGGAAGATGTCGAACTTGAATGAATCATAGAATACCTGTTTTTTTCAACCGGATGATATACGTTTTGGCAACATTTTAGGTGATTCAAATACAAGACAATAAAATCTGCAGGTTTTCTCTCATAAAGAAGGTCCGAAAGAACATTACCAGCATCACACAGGCACGAATGCGAAGTTGGCCTTTGTCGATATCCTGCATGCAAATATACAAAAAAATTTACTTTTCCCTTTGTGGGCACATTTTTCGCTCTTCCGAAGACACCAACATTAATAAAGATATGAGTACAAATGCTTTTTTACATATTTTTTTGAAGACTGAACTTATGGTCTCGATGGTTGTACAGCTTACCAGATGAATCTGGCGGTAAATATATTGAGAAATCGATGAAAAGAAAAGGAAACAAATTTCTATGTTGAAAAGTCGATCAAAATTAAATAAAGTGAATGAAAATTACCTTTCTCGTTTGAATTTATCAGTTGCCATCGTCTGCCCAAAATGTAAATTTCGTCGATCACTGAGCTATCTTGGTGTTGTTATATATTTCTTACACTCCAGATGTCAATTTTTTTTTTTATCTTGTGGAAACGCAAATATCATGTTGATAAAGTTAGCTATACATTTTTTTATTTTTATTCTTTTTATATATTTCTCTACCGGGTGGTTTAAATCAAACAGCTTTGGCTATATGTAAACAAGTCTTCCCCAGGGTTTAGTTTCAAATATTATTCAAAATCTGGGGAGCGCGTTTGATAAAAGACATCTTTCCTAAGGTAATTGCTAGTCTTCAGAAAAATTTTGGTCGAATAAAAAAGTATTTCTGTGTGTGTGATCTCGAGGATTTATCTTAAATCTACGACGTCTCTTAAACATTCTGTTAATATATGCGGGATCAATTCACATAAAAATTTACGACAGTAAAAATTCATTATTACCTCGATAACCCTGGTTTTTCCTCTCCTCGCGCTGAAATATCGGTTTATATCGCCCTCATCCGCTTATGGATTCGAAAATAATGAACCTTTTTTTCCCCTCTGCCACTTCTGTTCTAATCTAGGAATTCAGTTGGACTGTACAATATATTTAGTTTACACACAGGAGTACTCGCCGTCGTATCAGTGGCTTTGTCATATTGTCTTTTTTTCGACAACACCTGCTGATGCCGTGTGGGGACTTGTGACTAGCCCAGGCCTCTTTCCAGTCCATACACGTTGCAGAGAATTAACTTCCCTTGCATTAGGTCTAAACTCGGGCTCTCTCAAAAAAGCTCAAACAAACCTTTTTATATAATGTATTCAACGTTTTAGATTATTAAGTGATGAAAGTCGCAACGTTATTTATTTTAGTCAAGGTCTCAATTCAAACAAACTTTTGAATTAAGCGGGCCTTACAATGAAATACGGCCCGCTGAATAGACCAATCATATCGCCTGGAGTACAAGATTTAATATTATTCAAAGACTGTCAGTCCAGCCCCGATCTCATTTGAAAAACCTTTTTTTAATCTGTGGATTTACTATGTGTTGGCCTGGCGGAAACGTTTTGATAAAGTCTGAGGTAAATCTGCTAAGTATAAATTTGGATATATAATATATACGTATACATATGTATACATTTTCAGAGAAATTATATAAAAAGTATCGAATCTTTAACTTAGAGGCATGATCTCAATTACTAATTGCGATCCTAAAACCTCTGTGTGATTTACAATTTACCAGTATGAAAGTATGAACACTATATTTTCGATTATGGTGTTTATGCATCAGCCATGAACTACCAAAACCACTGAGATGAAAAGGTTGTTTTCGATTTAATACCTTGCTAAAACGCACTAACACTGCAAGGCCAAGGACCATATCAGCGTCACATTACAAAGGGCATTTACCGACTTAGTATGGTTTTTTCTCTTCACTAACCTGTTTATTTGCAAGATCTGATTGTTTTAAAATTCTTCCCTCTACTTGCTACACATTTCCTTGTAGATTAGCTACGAGAATTTAGTGTTAGGTCAAGATGATTTCTACCCGATAAGTTTAAGTATTCTCATTACCTTTTTTCTGGATTATGTATAGATTTATATTAGACGGAGAAAGGACCTGTTAATATCATTTCTGCGAGTCAATTGATAATGGTAATTGAACCTCGTGGAGTGCAATTTGGGCTGAAATCATACGCGTGATTTCAAAATCGAACGAGCGCGCAGCGCGAGTTCGATTTGAAATCCCAAGCATAATTTCAGACCAAAATTGCACGACACGAGGTTCAACTTTATTACATCCATTTTGAAATCGCCCAAATACAGGACTTGGTCAATTCAAAGATTTTAGGGATGCAGTACTGAGCCGGTTTTTAGATAAAGCGGAACCAGAAACACTCTTACATCTTATTTTCTACGCAAAACAGAAAGACTTTGACGTCATGTGTCAAAAACTCAGTCAAGCGTAATTTAGAACAAAAAATGGTGCGATTTGCGAATAAATCGCACCAATTAGAGCCAATCAGATTACAGAGACCACCAGTGATTTAAAAATAGATGTAATAAAAGGGTTAGTTAAGCCCTATTTTCCTAAAACGAACGATTAACGGCAATCTAATATAATGTAAATAAATAGTGTTATCTACATGTGTTTTGTCACAAATTCTGCAATCTAATTGGCTACGACACTCGCCTGGTTTGAGCCTGGCTTGTTGTTAGCAAGTAGATTTATGCGAAAATATTGGATTATTCGTTCTCGATTTGTATGCGTGATGGTTGTTAATTCGAGCTTGGCCTTCATACGCCAACACGTGATAAATATCACGCCAACACATGGTTAAAGATCACACGATCTATAAAAAAATAGGGTTTTTCGAAAAGGGGTGATCCTCAATCTAGGATTAAAAGTTAACTTTGGCTTTGATTTCTCGCGTGAAAGAGCGTGTATAAGAGCCAAGGTTTTGTTGGGGTTCATCTCAGTAAGACTCAAAACTAACCGGATAAAAACACAAAAGAAAAATTCCTTTGCAAAGCTATTAAAGAGAAATAAAAATTTACACTAACCCCGGATTAGGTTAATTGTGTTTTGAACAACCCAGCCGGTCCAGCTGATTGATCACGCAATTAATCAGATCGATCTTGCGAAGCCCTTTTTTTCCTTTTTTTTTTTTTAACATCTTAAGGCCTAATTATCATATTGCTTACTGATCACAAGACTTCTACAGGCCTAGACAAATTTTAACCGTTTGTCGTAAAACTGAAAAAGTTAGCTTTAATTAAGAAATGTTCCTTTAATCGCAACGGAAAATAAGTAACCGTTAGCCGTAAAATGGTCAAAATCGTAACCGTTAGTCGTTTTGGGACCCTCTATTGAGACAAAGAGTACGAGCGTTCGAAATGGGTGAAAAATCCAATACCAGATTCGCGTTTTACTTTGGTTGAGCTGAAAACCTTCTCAGGTCTTTCACTCTTATTAATATTCAAATCAGCGATTCAGCCAGTGTGTAATTGTCATTCAGTGGGAGACGGTTGTCGAACCCAGATATTCCACAGCGATCAAAATCAATAGATTTAGAGTAATACTCAAGCATTTTGGTCATTGAATTTAAAGAAATCAATGTTATATAGAATCATGCAGGTCTTTTCAAACGATAATTTGTTGGAAACTGTACGTTACATTTATTAATCTTAAACATAAGTGATTTCGTTTATCTATTACATAACCAAACCGCATGTATGCAACACGTGTCTTATCGCCCCATATATGGTGCTGTTCCACGTGCTTACAATGAGATGCAGTAAATGGTTTGAACCCGGGGGCAACATGTGAAGGTGTAGTCTGATCGTCCGGGTGAGTGTAGTCCTGTCACGGCAAAACCAACCGATCATTTCACACGAACTGGAATAAGAACATTCTACTGACTCTGATGATGACTTCCGCACAGGTTGTCGAAACGTCAGTCACTGCCACCGACAACAGTCCTTCTCAGGACTACACTCACCCGGACGATCAGACTACACCTTTACAATGAGATGTGGTGTGTTTTCGTTAGAGTTGTGAGAGGGAGTTAATTGAAGTGTAATAGCAAAATCGAACCAAGAAAATAAATCGTGATGACAGCCTATTGTTAATTTAGAACAACAGTCGTCGCGTCCACTTGTGGTCATAAGACCTTATAACTTTCGGGGAAAAAAGCTGTTTCTCGTCGGCTGGTGAGCTTATTCTAACAATTAAGCTGTTCTGAGGTACAGTTTATCCCTTAATCATGTAATTCTCAGAAATTTTACTGATTTTTTTGCATTAAAAAAAAAAACACCGTAGTATTTCTTTGAATTTGATCTTTTCTTTCCCAGCGTAATAACAACGCGATTGTTCTCTTTCCTGTTTGCTAATAACTTTTTTGACCCTTTTCGCACAGGTTCAACTACGATTAACACAGAAAGATCAACAACGAATGGTTCTGATGGAAATTCTATAATTTAAGGGCTTTGCTTATAAATAATTGCATTTATATAAAGCTGCCAGTGACAGAAATTTTTCCTTTCGAATTCAGGAGTGTTTATAGGATTTCTGTATCATCAAAAGCCGTAATCACAGATGTATGGAGGTTGAATCATTTTCTCATTTCCCCGTATAATTCAACGAACGAGAAAATCGGACGTCATGAAAATGCCTCAAAATTTAGAGGGGAATGTCTTGTTTCAACCAAACTTGATAAGGGCACTAGCTGTTGATATCAATTACCTACGGTGTAACAAATCCACTTTCTCCACTTTCTTCATCCCTTATTAATTTCATTTTCATTTCAAACGATTATAGTTTAAGTAAATTACCAAACTGTCGGCTTTTTCTACGCAAATCCTGAAGCGTTTTCAATCAAATTCAAGGTGAACCCTGTTAACTGGAAAGGTTTAATTTTGCTTAATCATATCCTCTCTAGGCGCTGATGGGACACGAAATTAGTTTTATTTTGATGATTATGAGTGTCACGAGTATCCCACTTTTGCAAAACATAGATAAATGATCATGAATGAAATTACATGGACTTTTTATTAAGCAAACATCAAGCGTCTGTTAAGCGAATACAGAGCTAAACCCAATCCGATTTTGCCTTCCCTTATAAATGGTTAAACGAATTTTATCGACAAATACCTTCATAGGCGGATGTGGCCGTTTTGTGGCCCTAACTAAAGTCTTTTAAAAAGTAGAAAAACTTTATAGTTTTAAAATCGGGTTCAATTGTGTTGAGAATCATGTGAAAACTTAAACTATAATAAGCTATATTTAGGTTAGATAGGTGGATGATTTAGTGCCGAGCTGGCAACCTCGAGATGTGGAAATGTAAAAATAAAACATCGTCTTCAAATTCAGCAGAAGACCACTTAAAGGAGCTTGATTTGTAAACGGTAAAGAGTAAGAATGAATGGTGGTAAAAAGAAACAGAATCATACTATTGCGCTTGAATTCATTTTTATGGCTACTTCCTCTTATGGAGGTGAACGACTTCTGCGTCCACAAAGAAGTCTGCCGAGTTTTACTCGATATTCCTCGCTCTTAGCTTTTGTTTGTTTGGGAACGCATTTGGTTGTTCAACGCTTGGTGACAATTTCTTCGGATCGCTTCGAATATGACTCGGAATTAGCAGGTGCACACATTGTAATCAACTGCGTTGCAGTAATTTAGACCTGGTAAACACGTGGGTTTCGAACCGGTGGGGGAAGCGAGTGCGCGAACGCGTGGATAGTCTGTGGGAATTCGATCTGGAAAGAATTTCTCGTACCAGATCCCTCGCCTCACAAATCCTCACGCACCCCTCGTGGCATTTGCCGCCCATGTTGCCACACCAGTTAAAAAAGGTTATCGTGAAATCGGTCCTAGAGCTGTATACTTTCGATTGTCCGTTAAGATACTTCCACTGCAAGAGATTTGAAGATCAATTCTTCCAAACTATGGCGCTGAAATAAATCTGTAAGTCATTTCATCCTGGTCATTACCAAGAGAGGAAGGGCCGTGTACCTTACCGTATGTACATTATTTTCCCGCCCAGGAAAGGGGGCGGGGGGGAGGAGGGGAGGGGTGAGGTCGGAAGATTTTGGCTGTGTCACGATAAAACTTACCTGAACCCTCCATAAGGGTTTGTAATACTTATGATCTCCCCTCGTTGGTTTTTAATTGGCAGTCAATTTTCTACAGCCCTTCCCCCTCCCCCAAAGCCCCCTCTTATACTCTGTTGGCGATTGCTGATTTATATCTCCCTCCCCTGAAAACCATGTGTATCCGCTGGGCGATAAACTCCCTAACCAATTTCTAATCACATGAAAAAATTCTATATCATACCAGTCTAAAAGTTGTAACTGTAACTCTTTTGAGAGAAGCGAGGACACCTTTTTACTTCTTTTCTTCTCATTATGTTTGAAAGCAAACCATCGAGGTCCACATATCAGTAAAAGATTGATCTATAGGTTTAAGATTTTTAAAAAAATTGAGGTTATGTTTTATTTAGGATTTTTAATTTAAATCAAATGATCTCTTCCCTTAATCGTTGAACATGTCGTTGAGATGATTTGAAAAACCACATTCCTAGAATTTCTCTAGACAGCTTGAGACTTCGCCTCAGCGTATTAATTCAAAAACAGAAAGTTGAAAAATCCTACTTTCGTGCAACTTTATTTGCACTTTTATCGTTGACATAAGAGACATAATTTTGTCGTAAACAGATTTAATTCTATCAATTTTCAGTCCTAACCTGTTTACAACGATTTCGAAACTACTATCTGAACAGCTCCACTCATAAAATGTCAGAAAATCATAGGTGTGAACATTAACGCAAAATGCAGGTTATTTTGAAGCATTTGTCTAGTGCAACATTGATTTAATATCATTCTCAAGACAATAATTTTCCATCTTTTTTAAATAGCAGATCGTTTCCATAGAGATGAGAAAAGAAACTCGATGCCCGGAACCTTTGGCCATCATTAAAAAATTTCAGTCCTTCCTTTCACCGCCTCTCTTTCTATCTCTGCAGCAGCGAAGATAACCTTTTAGAAATTTGATAACATTAGGCTCAGTGGCGTCACCCAGAATCGAAACTTGTCTGAATTCCTCTAAACGCTTGCTTGTTGACGGGCAACAGTCTCCTTAATTTTCACAACGCTAGTTTTTTGCTTGCTTCACTTGCAAATAAAAATTGTGAATTGTTAGTCTCTTTCTTACAAGGGAGTGTCACTCATGTGTGATAAATTTTCCGAATGAATTCAGTTGTTTCTCTCAGAATAGCCGCCATTGAAGTATCTGCAGAGGAAGGCATGCGTAATTTTTGCGAGCGAGTGCTCTGTAATTCTTGGTGAAAATCATAGGAGCCATCTTTGATTTTCACAAGAGCGAAAGGCCGGGGAATGCTAAATTTATACCAAGGAGTGAGCGACGGTCAAATGGAAACAGAGGAGAGAGGGTGGGTGAGTGGGATTACACGGTCTTCTGACTTTTACCCTCTCCCTCCCCCACCTTCCACTTTTACTCCAGCCTTAAGTTAGCATACACGCTATGAAAGCAGTAAGACCACTGAAAAAAATATCTAGAAACTTCGTATTGAACTTAATTTTTACAAATAACCGTTTGAAAATATTCAGTCTCTTCATAAAAGCATTTTTATTTCCCCAAAACTATTTGCTATCCATGACTAAAAAATTACAACTATGAAACTAAATTATTACAACTATCAAAATTTGAGGCGATATGAGAATTCCCTTTCATTAAGAAACTATTGAGAAACTGCCTCTTGAAGTATTCAGCAAGCTACTTTAATGTTTGAAATGCTTTGTGCACTGTTTCCTTTTGCACCTCTATATGAAAAAGCGCAGCGGTTATGATCTGACGCAAGCAAGTCCTTGATATATATATGATTCGTATATCGAGAGAACAGGAGAAACGACATAACCTCTTTATATGCAAATCATGGAAATGGTCGAGCGAAAACTGAGGCGAGGTGTTTGAGAAAATTCTCCCCAGTCTTTCTCTCCATTTCAAAGGCAACTGTCGCAGCTCAATGTAGTCCTCACATAATATGACATAATTTGTTGAAATTTATCTTTAAAACAGTTATACAAGTTTTCCTTTGTTGTTGGGGCCCTATGTAAATGTTGAAACTCTCCTTAACCGCAGTGTAATCAAGAGCAAGAACTGATTATCCTCGGATGTGATTAAAACTTTCAGGATGTTGGCGAAGATATAAACTTTGATAATAGTCATATTTCATGTATTCTTCTAATTAGGATCATAACAAATGCATGAATATTACAGTAGTCAGTACGAAGTATTCTTTACAATGGATCGGAGGTTTCATAGAGCTTTGGGGGATGAGATTGGGGTTGGAAAGGGGAAGGGGTGAGGGAGTGGATGACGAAGGGGCTGGGGGAAAATTCTAAAAGGGGTATTCCAATTTCTGGGTTATGTAGGGGGTGCGCCACCCAACAGTGCTTGCTTTTTGCCTAAATGAGCAAATCAGAATCATGCTGTAGCTATGAATGAGGAGTCTATCTAACTTTAGTTTCAAAAGGGTAAATTCCCCCAAAATCCCGGATTCTTCACGATCAAAAATGTTTGCGAAACGGATACACAAATGAAACAGGAAACTAAAAATTCTGGAACGGCGCATAGTCTTTTTTGTATTTTGTATGGAGCAGGGTCCAATTTTCAAACATACAGTGGAACAAGTCCACTGGGAAACGGCTCACAGGGTCATGGTCAGCGGCACACCCCCTTTATAATTTAAAGGACCACCTCCCACATACTGTACCCGTGAAACTGCATTCTCTTAAAGGCTTATAAAAAGGATGATAAAAGGGTCGCATCAAAATGGGTGGCCTGGTCCAATATACAAAAATAGCGTATACATGTTTAAGAATATCATGTAAACTGAACTATGTAGCATCTCTATGGAAATATACAGGTTCCTAACTTCCTGTACATTAAAAACCCTGCTGGTCTATAAAACCATTGTTGGTAAACTATTAAAAACTGGCACCATTTGACCATAGTTTGAAGAAACCACGAGAAAAATCCACTGTCAGTGGCTAAGAGAACTTATCTTCCAATATGAGGATGAAAAATAGCCAAACAAGCAAGTTACGCGATACCATGAATAAGTAAACCTCTTTTGCCGAGCGCAAAAGTGCCAAGTGTTCTTGTCTTCAATTTCACATGGCTTTTAGGTCTGGATGGGGGTAAGGCTATGCAGAAAATAAGCTCGACATTCACGCGATTTCGTCAAACATCCGGACAAATATTGTTGACAGCTGAAATACACACCTTGAACAAAAACCCTTTCAAACTTAAAATTTAGCTCTAAAAATCGTCATTTACGCCTTACACCTTAAAATGGAGTATATCCACAATCTCAGCTGCAAGTTCCCTTTTCCCTACATGTGACTGATGGAAATTTTAAATTCTACACAGAAAACTCTCCTCTGGTTATGTACAACGTACATAAATTTACCTCAGGAAAAGCAGATTTACAGGCTGAACTCTGTATCCCAAGTCACCCATACAAAACTGGCCAATCCCATTACAAGAAACAAGCGATGATAAATTGCATCTGCTTTCTTTTTCTTTTTTCTTATTTGGTCTTGAGCACTGATTGGCTTAACTGAGTTTAGTTGAAATCATTTATATGTTCCCGATAATGCGATTGGTTAGCTGTGTTTTAGTAGTGACACTGTAAAAGAATCAAATAGCGAAAAATTCTCAAAAGGGAAGATGGAATACTAATATAATTAAAAATGAATTGATAAACAAGAAAGGTAATAATCCTTGGAGTCAGAAGAACACGGTTCCACTGAAACCGTTCATGGAGGGAAAAATTAAAACGAGAGTAGTAGAATAAAACTAGCGACTGCGAAAAAAAGAAAAAAAAATTAAATAAAATAGGCGTCAAAGCTTTCGTTCCGTCAGCGAAACCAGCTCCTTGAGGTTAATATCAAAATAATTCTTACAAGCCATTAATGACTCAGTTTTACGGCGAAGTCGTGCTAGTAATGTCGACTTAACTGTGTTGTTTACTGTATTTCCATATAACAATGCATCTAAGAAAAGAGAAAGCACAAGTAAAATGTGAGTTTATTTGACACTCCTTCCCCACACCTATTCAAAATTTTGGAGGAGAGGCTACCTTGGAATCCTTTCCCAGTTTCCTACGGTAAAATTGAGCAATGCGATCGAGACATCGTGGATATTTGGAAGGGTAAGCTTTTTACCCATTCGATATTTAATACTTCCTAGGTTTCTTCTGGATAGAGAGGGTGTCTTGGAAAGGATACATTCTGAACTACTGTTAATGCTGAATACAGAATTATACCCTCAGTGGATATAGAGAAATCGGGCTAAGAAAAATCTAGTCCAGCGATTCACGCTTCAAGGGCTAAGGTTTTTTCGGTATCTCAAACTAACGGTAAGGAAATATAAAAGAAAAATCCATTTACAAAGCTACAAAACTGGTTTAAAAATTACTCTGACCCCGGGTTAGTAAATCATCTTTGGAACAACCCGTCCTCGGTGAATACTTACCACTAAAAAGAGCAATCCAAGAAACAGGGCTTTATCTTCTGCTGAGGAACTTGACGGGACTGAAATCAGAAGAGTGAAATATGGAATGTTGTTAAATATAATTATCAGGATATGTTGAGCGATTAAATTAACAGTGTGGATGCCTAGGATGTGAGTAACAGAAGTGATTAACATGTAACTTCCTCCTATATTGTCCACACATTAACCAGTAAACAGGTAATCAGAAAACTCACTTTATCGGGTTGAAGTTGTTATCGTGATCTAAAATCAAATGCTAGTAACTAATTCACAACGAAATGCGTAGAGAGTTGAAACTTCCCAGACTTTGTACTAGCACATGAAAGGTTAAATGTACACACATATTACCAAAGAGTCCATTGGTTCTTCTTAAGCTGATACAACTTAAATAAGTGTTCCATGGCTTTTTACAAGATTGACTCTATACAGTAAGTGACTTACATGAGATGCTGGCAAAGTCTCTTTCTCCAGTGATACAGCAGCTACAGATACCTCCACAACAACCTCGCCAGTTGTGCGTGATCTCTCCAATTTGTTGACTTTCTGATCCTACTTTTTCACTCTCTTTCAGTATCTAACAGTTGAATGATATGTCGATCATTTATTAGTTTTAGATTTGGTAAGTTCAAAGAAACTCATACATTATTGTGCATGCCAGACCTTATCTTGGTCTCAGTAGCATGAAGTAACCAGGAATAGAATTGGGAATGGTAAAATGGGAGACTCACAAGATACACTGGCCTGATCAGAAATCTGAAACTTACCTCAAAACTAGAGTAGGAGGTATATTTGGTAGTGAAGAATTTCTAATCTGATGCCATTCTAATTAATCTGTTTTGTTTCTTAAGCTTTTTCTTTCCATGCTATTATGCACTGACTAAAGAAAAGCAATAAAAAGATATTTCTGAATGATAATCAGCTGACAGATACATAAATGTTCTTGACAGAAAACAAACTAAGGCTTTGCTTTTAAAGGTACATCATAAGTTTTTTGGGGTAGAAACTCTGTGCCTCTGATTGCAATGACAGAAATGTTATAATACTCAGTACGTGTATGAAAAATTTGCCAATGGTTGTATTTTCCTGAGAATATTGTAGTACAAAGAATATCTTTTGTTGATATAGTGCACAACTGTATTCTGGCCTAAAATGCAAATTACAAGTTTTCCATGTAATGTACATGTTGAAGTAAATTTTGAAGACAATGTAGAAATTACTCATTTGCACAACTTCTTTACTCCTGCATCCAATTTTGTCTGAGTACAGGGGCAGATCCAGGATTTAGTCAAGGGGGGTTTGGAGAATTGTCCATGGGCATGCTCACCCAGGAGATTTTAAAAATTAGGTCTTCGGAAACATGATTTCCAGCATTGAGAGAAAATTTAGGAGGTTCAACTGAACCACCGGAGCCACCTCTGGATCCACCCCAGGAGTTCAGTATGTATTTTAGAGAAAAACAAGTTCATGAAAGAGGAAGTGACAGTTATTAACATAAGAAAGAGACAAATTGTTCTTTTTCAGCTTTGGACCCCATAGAGTGACTAGCATCTTATTTCTCCTTTCAATCACATAAAGGTTTCAAGAATAACCTAAGGAAATTATCACCGACTAAAGAGCTTCCCGATTTTCAAACAAATTCTCGTTGTCAGCATCGTAGGAAATGTTTAGAGAACAGTATGGAGAATATGCATACTGATGTTGGGGGTGGGAAGGGTTAAATGGCAAAGCTAGCTTTTGAAGAAACTCTGCTCTTTGCATATAGACTCTGCCCTAAATAGTAGCATGGACAGTTTTGTTTGAAAGAAACTTAATTATGGAAAGGTTTTGAAATATGCCATTTTTGATATATTAAAATTCCAACTTAACTGGGAGGCTTGGGGGAATAAAACAAAAGAGGTTACATTAAGGTTGAGGGATGAATCATTTATTTCTCTTGTTTTATTACCCCAAGCCTCAGAGTTATATTAGAATTTTCATATGTTGAAAATGGCCTATTAATTCTAGAAAATAAGAAAGAAATGTTATGAATTGTACCTTAAAAACAGCAACATTATCCCTTTTGCACTCAAAGGGATAACAATTAGGTCCTTGAATCTTGTAGCTGAGATTTCCTTCATAGTTGTAAACTTGGAAATAATATGAAGGTCCCAAAAAGCTACCAAGAGTTTCTCTGGGCCTGTAAATGAGAGAAAGGCAAACTCTGATAATTGGCATCTTGATATTTGAATCAGTGTCAAGGTTCTGACAAAATACGTTCAATTTCCTTTTGATTAGAAAGGAGTGGCTCATTTGTAAACTTTATAGGGACAGGAGATTATTTACACACACACACACACACACACACACACACACACACACACACACACACACACACACAAAAACCAAACAACAACAACAAACGAGATCAAACACTGTCCCCTAAATATGAATTGGGATTAAAAAATTGCATGGTTGCTCATTAACACAAGCTGCCTTCCATGTATTTGGCTGCTACCAATAAGTGGCAAGCAAAGGCACAGGTTTGGGCTTTAAATAGGACTGTTTTTCCGTGAGTTTGTGTCTGAAAATACCATTCCAATTTGTAGAAAATTCAGTGAGAGGGGATTGTGTGCATCTTATTTGTTGTTCCAATTGTAAATACTGATTGTTTCATGGCTACAAAGGGATCCTGTTGGTCTCTCTTTAATTTAAAGCCACTATTTAAACTAGTTCACTCACTTAAACAAAAATGACAATTCTTATTACAGGAAACAAGCAACAAATTCCACCTAAATTCTTTTTCATCTTGAACAACTTTGGTCTCGAGTGAAAATTGGCAAACTGAATTTTGTTAGAATAATTTCCCATTTCCTATGATGCGATTTTGGTACTGATTTAGTATTAAGTGATGCTATTAATGTGAGAAGCAACAACACAGTCAGCAAACTTACGCATGCTTTATGTGTCCTAGAACCTCGCCAGTAGGCATACGCACAGTCATGGAAGGGGCCACCCAAGGGCAGAAAGCAGGACTGTTGCAGCTAAATGGATGCTCAAGTTCCATAATCCAACTGCCTGTGACACTGTTGATGATTTTCATGTAGTAAGGCCTGGAATCACCGAGGAGTGCTTGAAGCCATGGATTGAGTGTCTTGACTGTGAATCGTTAAAGTAACCACAAGTAAGGTTTAAGAATTTTTAGTCAAATCTCCTAGTGTTCTGTGGCAAATGTTTCAATCTGATTGGTTACACCACTCACTATCTATTTGGTAATAGATAGTGAGTGGGTAAACTGAGTAGCTGCACAGCTTGCTCTAGTTAAGAAAAAAAAAAAAAAGAAAAGAAAATGAAAATGAAACAGGAGCCTTCTATGTTATGTTTTGAACAGCCAGTAGATTTCCACTGAAACACTTGAATTATAACCTCAAGATATCTATGCAAGATAGTTGATTTGGTGTTCCTCTTCATCTACTCTAATGCAAAAGAAATCTGGAGATCTTCATTTAAATGTTAAGTACATGTAGCTAGAACTTGTTTGAACTCTCAAAAGGAAATCAAATTGTTCTCCAGAGGCGAAAAAAATTTGTATTTCTTCTATTTCAAGGTATACACAAATTTACCACTTCCTCCATTCTGAGATTTCAAAGTGAAATTTAATTTTTCTAAAACTGACTTCAGAAGTGTCAATTTTGACTTTATGTTTCCCTACATCACACTTCTTATGAATAGGAATGTAAATTGCTAAGCTACAACTAAACAGAGGATAAAAAACATGGTAGGAAATCATTAACCAAAGTAATTCTTCCTTTGGTGCGTGGTGATGTAAGAGGAAAGAAGAAGCTGCTGTAACGGTGATACATGTAGATACATGTGTCTTTCTGGAGGTAGTTCACAGGTACAGTTAAACTTCGAAAATAGTTGTTTTTGTTTGACGGAGTTGATAATGTGAATTGAATAATACTAATTTGATAAAAGCAAGTTATCTTGTTAACCCCCCTCATCTCTGCTGACACAGTGTTACAGTTTCTTTTGAAACTTAACCCCATTTATGCAGTTGAACTTACTTTCTTTAACATCAAACAGCTGATTTCCAGCCCCATCACTGACATCAAAGTCCAAACGACCCCACCAGGCTGAAATTGAAACAAAGAACGTAATGTAGTATACACAGTAAGTCAGGCTTATTTTAATGATAGACCTCAACAATAAGTGTGGCAGGTACAGGTAGCATCACTTATCTTTTTAAATCTGTGTGGAAATCAATGGAGACCACTTGAAATTCAAAAGCAAATGATGTATCATAAAAACTGAACCCATAGAATTGTGAAAAGTTGTTGTTGTTGTTTTTCCTCAGTGAAATCCATGCCTCATTGTTATCATACCAAATTATTTCAAGGTGTCAAATAATGAATGCCTAGTATTAAATTCTTTACAGTACCTGGACTCTGATTGAATTCCTTAGCAGGTTATCATGTGATGAGCTGTATATTAGTTCACTTTTAAAAGTAGGTGAACTTTGACGAAATGTATAATATGTTTTCGTTGTATGAAACGAGAGAAGTATTCAAAAGCTTGTACTTATTATTCGATCAAGTGAAAGGTAGAAAACCACCTTTGATGTTTGGTTGATTTCGTGGCTTGGTAAACACCAGGAAACTTGTCACACAAAATCAAATGTGTAGGTTTGTGTTAGGTTTGAAAGATACAGAACACACCTCACACTTCACACCACAGAAATTATTGATGGCTTCTTTTTTTTGAAAATTATGAACTGTATAGAATATTTTTTGTTTATATTGAACATGTATTCTGACTCAAAATGTAAATCACAGGTTTCCACGCACATGTTACAGATAAGTGCTATGTCAGGGAATTTGACACCTGTCGTGTCAATGGAGACGAGAGGGAAATTACTCATTTGAACACTCAGAACTCAAGCAGCTAATATGTCTGAAATGTGTTTTAGATACAAGCTCTGCAACAATATATTTTGGCAGTGGACTGCCGATAACAGAGCGTTCAATTTGATACAGCAACAACAATAACAATTAATATACTGTGTTTTGACATTTAGAGAATATTTGACCACTGTTAAAGTTCACGCGAGGTGGAAACCTAATTTGTTATTTTGCGCTATTTGCGATGCATAGGTTTGCCATTTGAAGACCTTGCACAAGAAAGCTTTTTCTTATGAAAGACATTTTAAGAGGCTTAAAAACTAAACACCTAAATTTAAACAAGGAATGTTAAACAACAGTCATGCAAACTTCCTCAATTTTATCCTCGTGCAAACAGTTAAGGTTGCCGTGCACCTTCAGGGGTGTCTCGCGAGCAAGCGATGTAGCGCGTCCGGTTTAAACTGTAGATATCTTAACCCCTATATCAAATTAAAACTTATAGGACTGGCTATCAGACTATACCAAAAATTTTGAAAAAGAATGAATTGTCGAATTTTTCACGACTTCAAAATACGAGCGCCCGAATCATCTTTTGAACGTTACATCTCAAAGCGAATTTTTTTTATTCGCTTATTTAACGTGTTCCTCCGTTTCCGGGGCCAAAGCGCCAAAAAAACGTGTCTGCGATTTGCCATATTCGATTTCAGGGAAAAGTTACAGAACATTTCTGAGATAGGATTAAAAAAATGTGGAGTGCTCGTACAAAAATCGCTCTTGAAAAAAAAGTATTTAGAAATAAAACATTCGGAGACAAATTTTTGTTGTTTATATGTAAAACTAGCTACTGTCAAAATTTGAGAGCAATCGAACAAATTCCCTTTGACTTGTAGCCCTTATGGTATAGTCTGATAGCCAGTCCTATAAGTTTTAATTTGATATAGGGTTTAGATATCTGCAGTTAAAAACCGACGCGCTCCATCGCTTGAACGCGAGACACCCTTGAAGGTGCCACGGCAACCTTAACTCGTAATCGTAACGCGAGTTCATTTGCAGCACCGTAAATTTCAAAGACGTGAATACAAATGTAACAAATAGAATGATCTATATTTGCCGCGGGGTTAAACACATATAGTGATCTCTGAACTTGTAGAATTGGGATTTATAATGTCCAAATCACGCGAAACCCACGAAAACAAAGCCATTAAAATTTTTGAGAATTATCATCGCTCGAAATCAGCATTATTAATTTGAATTGAATTAATTTACACTTGCATCGTGCATCACTTACATCGTGCATCATACGTATCTAATACCGCAGTTCAAAATATATGAACTTCATATATTTCATTGTATCTGATTTATCACTTTCACGGGTTTATTACGAATCAACTTGACGGCCTGCTCCCAGTTGGCTTGTTAGCTCAATTGGTAGAGCGCTGCACTAGTATCGCAGAGGTCAGTGGTTCGAATCCCGTACAGGCCTGATTTTTTTCAGGTCTGATTTTCGCTATTGCTTAAATAGCGCTATCTACTGCGAGGATCGTGCATCATACGTATCTAATACCGCAGTTCAAAATATATGAACTTCATATATTTCATTGTATCTGATTTATCACTTTCACGGGTTTATTACGAATCAACTTGACGGCCTGCTCCCAGTTGGCTTGTTAGCTCAATTGGTAGAGCGCTGCACTAGTATCGCAGAGGTCAGTGGCTCGAATCCCGTACAGGCCTGAATTTTTTCAGGTCTGATTTTCGCTAATCTACTGCGAGGATCGTGCATCATATGTAATTTACACTTTGTCAGGAGGAAATTCGTGTTTCGGGGTGTTCTGTTACAGTCTAGTCACGAATGCGTGTCTGACGCTTGATATCTCGCATTTGCCATTGATTTACGAGGTTCTTAAAGATCATTAGAGGAAAAAAATTTTGTTTTCGATAAATACAATATGCGAAACAGTGACAAATTGATTTGTAACAAATCAGTTTGTCATTGTGAGGTCTCCTTATATGATTGGAATGTTTCCGTTTCAAGCAAACTTGTCAAGTGGGCGCGAAAAATGGGTGTAATTTCCCCGTTATTCGTTAAGTTTGCAAATTATTGCAAGCTATTTTGGAAGTGAAAATGCTAATTTTGTTGTCTATCCACAACGGTTCACTTTTAAAAGGAGTAATTCATGTCCCCGAAGAACCCAGTTGATTAAATCTTTGCATGAATGCTCATTCTTTGGCGACCGGTTTGTGTAGAACTCCCAAAATAGTTCATACACTCGCATCACGCTAGCGCGTCGTACAAAATCAGCTTGAATCGCGAGAAGGATTAGACCTCGTTTGATTTTCCGTCGTCGTGTCTAATTTTAGCTCTGAATTGTTTTGTTCCTGTCGTTAGATGGCACTATTTCGAGCTCTTAACGTCCTGAAACTTAACAAAAACGCCTAATATACCCTTGTGAAACCCAAACATCTGTCTGCCCTAAGCTAAACCGCTGAGGGTGAACTTATTGGTGAACGAGAGACATTTTAATCATTCAGTCGCTTTGATTGCTTTGTAGATTCTTTGATTGAAATCGCGGCATTTCGATTTGCAACCTTGTAGAAGACAGAGCACGAGGCGCAAGCATATTCAACAGTTTTTACCTTCATTGTCGGCCACATTTTGATGAGCTACTAACTTGCTGACATTTTCAAACACCTCCAAGCCCATCGGAACTTGTGACCCATTATTGGCTCCTTGATTATGCGGAGAAAAAACGTCCCCATCTTCTCCCTCGTCATAACCTCCGATGTACTGAACCGAGCCGGAGTACTCTTTCTGGTAGCTAAGTCCTGGTTGATGAATCACGGTTGTGGTGCCCGCCATATTTTGTGCAATCCGATTCTACGCTTTCTCACGCGCTCTTCTCGAGCAAAGGTTCACGATCACGAACCCACGGCACCCAGCAATGTGTCACACGAACAAAGGAGCTACCGGAAAATTTTGGATCTGCGGCCTCCTTCCAAACGACGCTTCTCCGCTTGGAATCTTTTTTAATGTGCATTTTAATGAGTTTCTTCTTTTGAGAAGAATTCAAAAGCAAAGCAGTGATTTGCAAGTCAATTTTTTTGTCACGCCGCCTGCAGGTAGGGTTCGTGTTGCGTAATGCAACCGCGCTATCATGTCAAGACGGAAGTCTCTTGGTCGACCTCGGTAATCACTCAAATGCTTCGAATTGTTTCCATTTATCCCATACTTCGGTGGTTAAGATAATCGGCTGTATTTTCAGGAGAAAGAAAACATTTACCATGCCAGAAGACAACGGCCATGTAGCATCGTTTATGGGGTCATCCTTGGCGTAAAAACCTGACGAGGTTTTCTTTGTTTTGTGAGGTATTGTTTACAATGTTTTGTTGTCTTTGTTTTATGTCACTCGTGAGCTTCACAGGTTTTTACACCGAGGATGAGCCCGTTCATGCGAAGCATCATTCATACCTCGCTTGCCGTGAGAGTTTAACTGTTGTTCATTTTGCGTAATTCACACTGGTCGTGAACTTCTCTTGAGGAAAAATTTCAGTTTGTTTACGAAGGGGTCGACCTTACGACCTGTAAATTTTATTCCGTCAGGCAGATGTCTATTTTTTCAATCAGAGGCCAGGATATCCCTAACCTTTTGTGTAAAGGAATGATCGATCAATCGTGTGTACAATGTAACAATGTTTGTTATACTTTATTTGGTTCACATAATTTTCATTATTATTTTTTTTTCCCCATTTTTTTGTAGTTATATTATTTTTACAGGGACACGGGGGAGATTTTTCATCAGGAGTAGTTGGGGGGGGGGCGAGGAGGGCTTCGTGGGCATTCGCGTTGATTCAGGGATCCAGGAAGAAAATAAAAAAAACTTTTGCTGCACAAGAAAAATTGAAGGGATAGTTATGAGAACCGTGACAGAGGCACGTCGATTTGATTTAATCCTGAATTTTGTGAATTTATTTAAGGAAGTAATTAATAGACAAATGAAGGAAATAAATATGTGGGTCTTGATAGCGAATAACTCTCACCGCCTAAGCAAAATTCTGATTAATTCTCCTTGTGTCAGTAGCCATATCTGCAAACCAAACCAGCTCGTAAAAACATTTAAGTAGTAGTTTCGATTGCTGCTTGCATCTGGTTTTGCACTATGTAACGAGCAGATTAAGAGCACGAAATTTGTATCACGTGATAACGAATGAGGACAGAGCCCGAACAGACATGCATAGAACTCGAGAGCGAGTAATCTTGTCGTTATAGTGTTTGTCGCGTCCATTTTGAAATCAGTGGTGAGCCTTGCAATCTGTTGGGCTCTCAGCAGTGCGATTTCTTTCCGGATTGCACTATTTTTTTTCATTATAAATCGCGTCGTTTTCCCAGCCAGTGAGAACCTGTTTGTTCTTTGTTATTTAAAACTGTATGCTGTCATGCTACTTGATCCCTGTAGATTTTCCTAGTATAATTTCTGGTACAATTTGGAAAAACTAGCATAAGTTTTGCTCTTCTTACTAATCATAATAGCACTGCTGGCATAATCTGCCGATGCTCAGTTTTTAGAAGGTGAGAGTACCATAATTAAAACTTGTTTGGTCTCCAAGATTGATTATCTTCAAATTCGGTCCGTGGTTCAGTCAATTTGCAATTCGTAATGAGCATTACTGCAATACCGAGTTGTTCGTCGTCTAGAGGACTGGGCACGGCGGAAGAAAGATTAAGTCGGTTCCAGTTCCCGCTTTTACAGGCAACAACGTAGCGCTGAAAAGAGTAACGTGATGCTAACATGGAGGTAGCGGTAGCGGTAGTGGTAGTAGTAAAACTTTATTTAAAGTGTCAAGAGCCGTCTAGCTAGGGAAAAATCCCTTACAAATTTTGGAAAAATCCCTTACTAATTTGGGAACACTAAAAAAGAGTAGAAGCTATTTACAGTAGTATATATATTAAAACTACGACAAAATCTATGGTTAACTAGTCACGGGATTTGTAATAAAAATATACAAAATTCAAGACGAGCAGAGGCTACAGCATGTGCATCCGTCATCCAAGAGCTCACGTATACTGAGTTGGCGTATCTTGCCTTTGAACGACTTGAGGGTCTCGACCTCCCTTATACTCTTGGGTAATTTTGTCCATAGCCTGGGCCCTAGAAATCTAATAGAACATTTTGACACATTAAGTCACCGCTTCTAGTCTTGGATTAAGTCCAGTAGTCAACTGTGTTTATTAGTGAAAGCATATCATGGTTCATTAAGCATAAATATAAAATTTTGAGCTTAAATTTAGAAAAAAAGTCAAGCAACGCTTTTAGCACAATATGCTTCTTTTACTAACTTGACAGTCTATGTCTACTCAATTTGAGTTGCTTTCTATTTATCACAGTAAAGATTTCGATGGGAAATCTCTGTGGGTCAACCCAGCTCAAAATGATTGGAATGCTATTAGACATAATAAAAACATAAAACAAACAAATCTGTTTGGCTCCCCATCCAGTCACCCTTTGGGTACCATGCCCTCAGTTGGGATTGTGCCAGGGTGTTACTGTCAATTCTCTCACAGTATGGACGGTGTATACGGGGCGCGGGCGGGGCAGGCCCCGACAACAAAAACGCCTCATCAAAAGGGACAGTTTTCGTCTCAAGCTGAAAGAAACGCGTGTTTTCATCCACACTAGCGTTTTCGTGTTGCTCCTAAATTTTGACACATTCTCGACTGTCTCCACAAGAAATCATCCCAAAATGTGCAGAAAAGCGACAGTACGTGATGCACTTCTTGTCTCCTGTGGTCGTTCATGCTGGCACAATTGCAACAATTCTATACTCAGGAAGGAAATACAAGAGCCTTAAGTTACTTACTATTATACGGTCTTTGTTCCCCAAGAGGAATCAAATCCCAGACCTTCTGATCTCAAGGTCTGATGCTCTACAACTTAGCTACTAAAAATTCATTAGTTAATCAGGCCACGGTTCACGACAAGCTCGCCGTTATGTTCTGTGCCCAATGCTATGGCACCGCAACGCGAAATCCGATTACACTGGGTTCGTTTTCTCGTGGAGGGTGGGGTCCATTAACCCACACTTGTGTCGAAACACGGCACGTTCCGAGAGTGATGGAGTTCTTTTCGAAAGTGAAGCCTGCACATTCATCGCCTGTAATTAGCTTCTTTTCGTCCCAACTCCTTCCAGCTACAACAAAACTGAAGGGATTGAATGAACCAGTGTCCCCCTTGCCTTTACATTTATCCATAATGATCATCTAACCCCTCTCCCCCCAAGCCCAAAAAAAAAGACCAGTGGTAGTGGGCACAGAATAAAATTTAAAAGGGTAGGGGAGGTTTGCATCATCCTTGTTCCCAGGGTCTCTCGTCTTCACGCGCCCTGGAGCGAGTGAGGAGAGACTCCACTATCTCCTCACTCGCTCCAGGGGGCGGGAAGATGACAGACCCTGGGAACGAGGTTGAGGTTTGCATGTTTATCAACGCTCGAGAATACTTCCAGAACATAGAAGACAAAGTAATCAATAGTAATACGTTTTATTACCAGCTTTGTATTACAGGACTATCCGAGCCTGAGTATGTTTCATTTTCGACTCATTAGACACACTGAAGCTGGCGGTTCTTCTCTGTACCAACTTCCAATCATAAAGAAAGGAAGACGCGAGAGAGACAACTATCACAGGCTTGGAAATAAACAGAAAATGATGAATTGAAAGAACAACACGAGAAAAAAGGGTTTAACCAACAGATTTGTCCTTACCGGTGAGTATGATTCCGTAGAGATACAATCCATAGATGTTTATTCATAAAGTAGATTTTTTTAAATGAAGTTCCAGCCTGTGATGGCCTCTTATCTCGACATATAAAGTACAGAACAGGTATATGAGGAGCTTTTAAAAATTAAAAGCACTTAGAGACTTTTCCCAAGAACCATACTCTGGTACTGCTCGCAATGAAGCAGTCCACCTCTATCTAATCACAATTAAACATTTGGTGGCGACTTCCTCAACAAAGTATCTTGGAAATACAAAGTCACTGTACAAAAAATATGCATGCGCAACAATGAAAATACAAAAATATTGTACAAAAATTCCCACTCTAACGAAAATAATTTACAGAGGAATGCATATTAGAAAAAAATGACTAGAAAAATTTGATTACATCCCAATGGGTCTAGTGAATTTAACTGTCAAAATGTGTAAAACAAAAAATTGTAATAAATTTCTAAGATCTGGGTTGATATGCATGGATAAACAACACCCAGAGAGGAAACAACTCAAGGCTGATCTTAAGTACAGATTCTAAAATACTATTCTGCATATTTGATAAAGGGATGAATTAAATCTCATTGACAGATACAAAACTAGTTGGCTTCCTCCAGGATCTTCTCTGAGCCCTGAAGGTAACACAAGCCTAACAACCCTCATTCCTTGTGTTGGTCCTCTCGTCAGATCTAAGTATGAAGAGGGGGGGGGGAGGGGTAGGCAGGGAAAAGAGTGGTAGAGGGGGGGAGGAAGCCCCTAGAAATCTGGAACATCTCAGTTTACCTTTAAATTTTAGCAAGGGGAACTACTATCTACACTATAAAAATATATTGGAAGGTTCCTCACTGAAACCTCATCTAACTATTCTTGATTACTTCTTTTGGAAATAATTCTACTTAAATTTTCATTTTAACAGTACGTGTAAAAAACAGAAACACTGAACGGTACTTGAGTTTGTCAACAAGCTCTCATTGCTAAGAAGACTGTACGTTGATATGATACTGAGTTCAAACAAGATTTGTTACAAAATAATTTTACTATGTGGAGTTTGTATTTTTGATATTAAGTACAGTAATGTTTTCAAATTATTATTCTAGGCTTTGATTTAAAGATTTACGTTAAAAAATACTAGTTTTTATGTATCTGAGATCCTAAAACATAAGCTTAGGAAGAAGTTAATTCTTTTTGTTCACAGAATGCAGCACTAATGCTTAAACTAACAATACAAAAATAAAAACACCGTAGTGATAGAAAATGAAGTCTCTTACAAAAAGCATGTAGAAAATGACCAGCCCCAATTTACCAAAATAAATGTCTAGGCTGTTCCTTTGTAATACAAAAGGTCTAATCAATACAAATTGGAATGTACGCTACGTCAAGATATTTCTGTACAAGTAACTGAAATATCAAATTCATTATCTACTCAACCTTTTTGTGATAACTTGTCAAAAGAAATCTGTTGAATGCACCATTGTGTCATTACCACAGGTTTGAAAAATTGAATTGGTTAATAGTACTAAGATATGATTGTACGAGGAAAAGGAAAAAAATTACTAACAACTAGGATGGAAAATGGCTTGGATCATTAATATCATTGAGAGCATTTACATAAGATAAAGACAGGTTGTCCTGTCTCCTTTCACAATGAAGATAACGTAGCTGCGTGTAAACGTCAAAAGGATGAATACGCATTTACGGGAAACTTGTAAAACTGGAAGCATACTTCATCAACTTGACCATTTGATGACCAAGTCAAGTGCAGGTTAACTCACAGCAGTCGTGAGTTGACAGAAAAACACCTTGGAATTACAAAGCACCTTAAAAATAATTCTTCTACTTCTTTGACCCGACCTCTAAATCAGCTGAACTACAAACAGTGTAACCAGGTTCCTGCAACTCAAGTTGAGAAACTAGCCTTTTCCACAACCTGTTCACAGAGTACTGCATAATTCCTAGTTTTGGAGACAAACATTAAGATACGACAACAAAGTGAAGTGAATACAACAATGTTAAAATGAAATTAACTCATGATAAATGGCTACTGTGTACGGTGAATGTTAGCATGTTATTACGGTTGATAAATTAAGATTACTTGATAATCAACACATCTGCCCCTTGATAGAGGCAACCATTGTGTCACAAAAGTGGCAAAATTAATGTTGATCAACACTGCACCAAGTAAAGTTTCAATCTTTTGGTCCTTGTTCTACAAACACGACCAAATAACTACATAACCACAATCCTCCTCGTGATATTGCTCAAAAAAATACTCAACTACGTGACTTTTTTTCTTTTTCTTCTCTTTTTCTTCTATTTATGGTAACATATCTTCTGCATTATAATGTTGCGGCTTGTTCCACAGGTCTCCAAGAAACCTGCTAGGAAATATTGTGATCTTTGTTTCCGTGTATGCAGAATTGTATACTGTTCAAAACTGTGCATGACCTATGAACTTCAACCCTTCACTCCTGAGATCTCACTGTCAATTATCCTCTACCTTCAAACGGTTTTGTTTAATTTTAGTTCAAAAGTGATAGTGATAAATTTTTTCCCTTCTCAATACCTTTCTGGTTGACAATGCACTGATATTGTAAGGAAAACTTTTCCATTGGTCTCACCCAAGAGTGAAAAGGTCGTGAGAAATTAACTTCTGAAGATAACTTTCAATATTTTTGGGATGTTGGTTTGCCAATTCTGATCAGGCTACTCTTGACACGATTAAGTGAAAAATAAAAGCACCTTGTAAATAACATGACCAAGAAAAAGACATAACCGCTCAAACAATGGCCAGGGTGCCTGAAAAATTGCACTACTCAACCCAGTGTTTGAGAAGTAACCCCAATTTTCTTTACCTTTATTCAGAATACTACCTTTTCCAAAGTACCTATTCAGCATTTACCATCTACACTGATTCTAATAGAAGACCCTGAGAGCTGGGCTTTGAGCATTGCAGTTTTTGAAAGGCACAGGCATAATAATACCCTCAGCTAATCAATTAAACAGAGCAATTGAAACTTTACAGATGTAGTGGATCCCTTTTAAAATATACATAACAACTGTTTACCAGTCAACCCGAGGTTATTACTTCCAGTTTGGACATCTTACGATTTTACTTGCAACCCAAAATGGTTGGTAATGTGCTTCTTGGTTAGTATTACAGTGCAAAGTGCAAGTGAAAGTGCAGCACAACAGAACTGATTATACCTCTATCTACCTGACATTGGTCAATTTTTCCTAGAGTGTCAATCACCAAAGACTAAATTCTAAAAAGTTACAAAACAGTGTTGGACATTTTATCTCTATTTTGTAGTGTGTCATTCTTTCACATGCACAGGCAAAAAAAAGGCAACCTCTGATTTTGGATGCTAGACCTCCCAGTAGTGATAGAACTGCAGATGGTTTTTTTTTTTCTTAACTTAAATCCTAGAAAACTCTCAACAAGAATTAAGCACATAAAAATACTGGTATTATTTAAGGGAAAAAAATCAACAGTGAGCAGTTAAAGCCTTGCAGTGAGTGTGACAAGCGCATAATTACAAGATTAATACAACGAGTATTTATTAATAATCAACTTTCTTTCTCATACCAATTTTCATATCAGGAAGGCTCCAAAATAACTTGCTGACTCATACTTTGCTATTGCCTGGGTATTATCTTCAGACACTCCAACCATGATGTGGTCACCATTTTCCAGCTCAAATACTCCACCTTGATAACTGCTGTACAGGTAAACTTTGGACTTTTTGGCGCGACACCGTGACGTCACACTACGCATAATGATCTCAGCATTGCCAGTTCTATTTAAATGTACATAATGTATGAGATGTGGCCTGTCATCTTCTACTTGAAAGTACAATTGGCTGTACACATAGTATCTTCCAGACATAGAGATCACCAGTTCTCCATCTTGGTATTGCATTCCACCTACTTTGTGTGCGTGACCTTGATCATCTTCCCAGTTTCTTATAATTCCTGGAACAAACAAGTTTTATGAATTCTAAGGTACATGCAACGAACCTACGGCAAAGTCAATGACATGCAGATTTGCTATTAACAGTGCAGGGTTATAAAGCTTATCATATATACAATCAGCCGTCATTTTATGACGTTAGGCAAACTTTTCAATAACTAAGATACAGATAGCAATGGCTGTTACAATAAGTGTACAATACATAAAGCAAGCCAACTACTACTGCTGCATCCTGTGAACTCTGCAAAACATTTCTCGAAATTTTAAATTATTGTGATCTAACGTGCCAGTTATTCAACACAGACACCTCTAACTCTCTATACCAAAAATTTATCTTTTTAACTACTTTGTAGCAATTTCAAATCTATAAGTTTAGAAATCTTCTAAATACTTTTTATCCACCCTACCCCTTGGTATCTGTAATGACATTGAATAACTTAACCTCTGCTAACCAAAAATGCTCCAAAAAAGCTTGCTTCCTCAATCAGAAATGCCCTATTGATATTGTCTCCGAGTTTAAGAGTAATGATATCACCAGCATTAAGTGACGTAATGAAGCTGAGAGAAATGGTATTGAATTCACCACTTCCAGAATTCACACCCTTAGCCTTGACATCACTGTTCACACAGACAAAATAAGTCATGCTCCCATTAGATGCAGTTGTGTAATACAGCTGGCTATAGATTAAATACACTCCTGATGTTGGGACAGTGAGTTCTCCATGTCGATATTGCATCCCCCCTCGGTGCAGTGAAAGCTTCCACCCAGTTAAGAAGCCTGTTGAAAAGAGAGCACAGAAACCAAAGTGTAAACACTTTGGCAAGGCCCCCTTGCACCAAAAAAGGTAGTGCATGGCAAAAGGACAGCTTTAATTGTATCTACATGTACTAAATCAGCAGCTTACAAAAGAAAAATCACCAAGTACATATTTTGAACCATGTCTAGATAAACAGCTGGAAATTTTGACAGAAATGGTTTTTAATTGTATATCTTGTCGCCATCCAGTTTAATTACAAAAATTGAGAGAACACTCTTAACTTTTCATATATTTCAAAATATAGGCCATAAACATCTCCATTTTGACCAGAAAAGCAGCTTGTTTCCAAATCCTAAATTATAGGAAAAACCTGGACATTCAGGACACAGTGAAATTGGGATTTCCGTGGTGTGTGAGACCCAACTGTTGTGAAACATATAAGCACAGAAAAAGTTTATTTACCTGCTCTTGGAGAATTCTGTGTGTGTCTGGTGTAGCCTGTCAAGTGGGCTGATGGCCTCTGTGATGACTGTCACCAAAAAGACATCAGTTTTCAGCAGACAATACATGTAACTAGCCAGATTCAAATGGCTCCAAAACTAATGATTACCATAGGCTGGGGGTGTTTTGAAGCAGTTGTTTTTTGAGATACAAGTATGAGGGTTGTGATGGAGTACAATTATGAAATAAACACACTCATTTGGGCAGTTGAAAAAATCTCACAAAGTCAGCTAAAAGCATAACAAGAAAGCTTGCAGCTCTAAATCTGTAGATTTACTAACTCTTAAAATGAACAGAAAGGTAAGATTTCACCAAGTGAAGAGCAGAGTTACTTCCTGGGACTATTCCTCCTTTAGACTGACAAGGAAACTAGGCAGTGAATTCCAACTTTGTCAACAGAATAAACTACTGCCGAGTTAGGCTCATTTAAGGCTGCTAAGCAAACGGCTGACCCACCTCACATTCACAACAGAGGATGTGGGTTATCCATGCTAACTTTTTTCAATGAAATGCAGAATTCACCATGTGGGGAAACCACAATACAATAGTAAAAGACGAAGGCTTTGGAGTGTCATTAGACAAATCAACACTACTACTGACAGTAAGTATTTAACCTACTTATACCTCTAGTGAGCCTGTGGTGCCTTTTTCGCCTTTTGGCCCTGGGTTTCCTTTCTCCCCTGGAAGCCCACGTTCACCCCTTTTGCCAGTTGGCCCTCTTTTCCCTGCTGGCCCTTGATCTCCTGCACACAAAAAAAAAAAAATAGTAAAAATAAGACTTGAAAGAAGCACAGACTCACCAATATCAATTAATGAAATCAGTCTCTTCAAATAAATCCACTTTTTCAGAATCAAAGTGGTGTTGATGTTCTAAGGGAAAGGTTTTTTTTTTTGTGTGCATTAAATTAATACATTTGCCATCAAGACCCAGTATTTCTGGCCCATTTCCACACTTGTTTGACAAAGTCTCCAAAGTTAGAAAGTTTCTTACCAGTATGACTCTAAAAAGTGACTTGCATCTAATTTCTCCTTTCAATAACATAATCATCTGAATCACAAGTTAAGATCATAAGAATGGAGGAAATTATGATCACTGACTAAAGAAGCTGTTGACTGTTAAACAAATTCTTCTTGTTAGGACCTTAAGAAATACATGGGGTACAGCATAGATGGATGCATATGGAGAATTTATTACACGACTCGGGCAGTCAGAGGGCCAATTACTAAAATCAACCAATCAAAATGCTCTATTGCCGGTCAATATTCTCTAAGTATTGGACCGGGCACTGTCCCGAATGGTCCCAAATGATACCGCACTTGTGTCCCTTTGAACTTCAATCGTATAATAAATCTCTTATTAATCAAGCCTGCTCAGGACCTTACTGGAAGAATATCGGCCCTCGGTCTTTTTTGTACGGACCTTGCTGCACTCAGTCCGTACTGTCAAGACCTTGGGGCCGATATTCTCCCAGTATGGCCCTCGCACTTGGTTAATAAGATATATATATATACATACTGATGTTAAGGTGTAAAGTGTCAACAGTATATATTCCAGTACTTACCTAGGTCTCCTTTATCTCCTTTAGCCCCAGGAGCACCCACTCCTGTTGGCCCCGGTTCTCCTTTCTGACCTTTGGGACCTGAAAGATGCAAGATTTTGGATTCAAGTAGGACTACTATCATGGCCCTGGTTAAGAAATACTTTTTACACTCACAAATTTCTCTGTCAACTTAGTTTTAAAAGGTATTTTAAAATAACTAGGTCAACTGACGAGGTTGTAGACGAAACTAGTTTTGAAGTTTTTGCAGTAGTGTGTTGAAAGTAGAAGTTATAGTTGGAGTTTTTCACTTACATGGTTAATATGGCATTAAGTAATGCTTTCTTGGCTTCCATAAGTAGAATTTCACAACGATATTTTACAATCATTTTCAAGTTATCATTTTTCCCCTGGACCTCTTTGAAAACAGATATGTGAGGGTTTCTTACTCAGAGAAAAATTAATACTATGTATCAAGTACAATATATGAGGTAACTCCAGACCAAATGGAGTGTGGAAAACTAAATCATCACTTGAACAATTGACCTTATTTGGTGCCATTCTATACCTGGACTTCCTACATGGCCTGGGACTCCTGGAATTCCTGGAAATGAGTGAACAAACATGTTACTTTAAAATGTCAGGTAGACTGACAATCTTTACAAATTTAAAAAGCTGATATTTCCTGAGCTAGCCCTTCAAAGGAACAAATTTGGTGGATATTGTTTTAGTATATGTTTGTATTGCCTCCCGAAATTTGGTTCTTTAATTATAAAAATTACAATTGCATATAGTTTCACCTGGTGTATATTGAATGCACATTATGCATGGTAATCACATGCCCTCCCTGCACATGTAATGCTGTAATGCACATGGGCAGTTTCATCTATCTATGATTAAAAGGCCACACTAAAACTACAATACCTGACACTCACCATAAGCTCCTGCGGGCCCCTGGGCACCCTTAGGTCCTGGGGGTCCTTGATCCCCTGGGGGACCTTGATCCCCTGGTGGGCCTATGACACCTAGCATAATGATAAATACATCAAATCACTTTGTTGATTGTGTTGGAGAATAGGTGCCCCAAGGTAACATGAGGCTGGGGCCATGATCTCTTTAAAAGCAGGGAGGTCACCATGACAACTGAGTCACAGCCTACTTTTCCATATCTGTAAGTGCAACACTGACAAACAGTATCTGGAATGAATACTTACTCAAATATACGCAGGGGGGTAAGAAAGGAACCCAATTTTTGCTGAACCAGTATATTAACCATTCTAAATAATGAGTTTTTATATTTAACAATTAATCACTGAAGGCGAGGTGAATATCGTCAAATAATCCTGAGACGAAGTTGAGGGGATTATTCGACAATATTCACCAAACCCGAGGTGAATAATTGTTTTAGTATGATTTCAGAGCTGAACAACAGAGAAATTTCTCAAATCATAACATTTTAGTAACATTTTATTTTAACATTTTATATAAACCGCGTGGAGTGGTTTATATAGCGTCATATAAGGAGCCGCTCGACCAATCAGATTGCTGGAAACTCTTTGCTCAGCTCTGAAATTAAACTAAAATCAGTTAATTGTATCCAACACAAGTACTCATCCATATGTGAAGGTTCAAACAAAATTTTGCAATATGCCATGTATTTCAGAATGATACAAAAGACCCAAAGGTTGAAAAAATTCACACCACAGTTGTGATTAACAAGCCTTGCCTTGATATGTTATTTTAAATGTGTCGCACAGATGGGAGAATGACTATGTCAGACCCTGAAGTGTTCAGATTATACTGCATGAATCAATGTCATTAGACAACAAAAATTAACGTTCACATAAAGGGTCATTACTGTAAATGCCAGTAGATTTAATTCTGCAAAAATAGGGAGAGCACACAAGTTCACATCAGTTTAAGTTCACAGAGATGCATGTTCTTCTTTTAACAGGCTCATTTATAGCCACAATTTCTCATGATTCATAAACCATCCTACATGAGCTACCAAAAGCATTAAAGATGCCTCCTAGGAAATTAATTGAAAGACTCCTCTGTGAAAGTTGTTTCCCAGAAACACAAAAACTAAAACGTTTCAGGATCAAAGAGGCTGCTCTACAAAACACGACTATTTTTACAATGATTAGTGCAAATCAGACAAACTGCATTTAACTATTAAGAAAAAAGCATCTTCACAAGGTGCCCGTTTATGGCTGTTACATGAAGTTGTGTGCAAAAAGGGATTATTCTGAACACATCCCTTTAACTTGATCTTTGCTCATCCATCCATCAACCAAAGCCACCAGCGTCCATTATTTCGGAAGCCTTGTGTAACTGAGCCTAAACCAACATTAGCCTACTGCTGTGCATATTATGTAACATCCAAACCTCAAGCCAAATGAGGCTAAGTGATAATGTATGTGATCCTAAAAAGCCATGCTACACAAACCTGACCTATTAAAAGAGCTATACTGGCCAAAGTGTGCTGTTTGTTGTTGCGCTGTTCAAAAGTTGTGGGAGAAATACCTGTTAAACCAGTATTTTTATTTTCAAGAGAATCAACCAGTTTCTCCCCAAATTTCTTTTTACTTTTTAAAAATGAAAAAAGGAGATGAGAAGGAAAGAGCCAAAAATAAATTCGGAGGCATTCTTTGCTTACAAGAAAATTCCATAGAAGGCTGAGAATTAAGAACTTATTAGCAAAAGGGTTGAATAATTGACTAATCTAATTTTTTTCAGATTTCTCCATTTCAATTTTGGCTTGTTCAGATATTTATTAAAAAGTGTTAAGTTGATAATTAAAGGGTAAACTGCTGGGTCCAAAGAATAACAATTCATTCCTACAAAAATAGCTATTACAATTAGTAATTTACAGGAATTATTACCATTTCTGACAATGACAAGAAAGAAAATGTAAACAAACAAAGTAAAAATTGAATTCCTATTGGCATCCTGTGCAAAACCTATGAAGCTGTCAGGGTGGTATCATCAACAGAAAAATTATTTTGAAAATTCTGTCAGTGCTTGCAACAACAAAGATTTATTCATTAGCTTTCTGACTTGATCCTTCATAAGCTAAAGATTTTGTGGCGATTACAGCAGACAGTTTTAATCCAACAGCAGACTGTTAATTAAACAAATAGAACTTAACTAAACCCAAATCAATCCAATTGAGATAAATCTTGGCTTCTCCCATCTGTTAATAGCTTGGCTTAAGGAAATCATGGAAAAAAATTGTTGAAAGACTTCATTGAACAGTTTATTACTGTGATGAATGAGAGATGTAAAGCTGACAATTACATGAAAAGTTGATAAAGAAGCTGTTGACAATTCTGCAAATTTTTTGTCATTATTGTTGACAGTAGTAATAATTTTAGCCACTAACATTTATGCTAGATGTTGAAGACCATTGAGCAACTAAACTACTATAAATTCTGACTACTTGAGTTCACTGCCAACTGCACAGCTCCACAGAATGGCATGGCAATTATAAACTAAGTTAATTCACTTTACTACGGTGACACAATATTCTTGCCAAGGTGACAAAATTATCTGTAATTCAACATTACTATAATATTTAGGACACCATGCTGTTTTGAGGTTAATTCATGAATGTCACAGACTATCAGAGAAACTCAATCCCAACCACTTACTGGAAAACAATCGCTCATTATGTGGGAAAGGTAATGAAATTCTAAGTCATAAACACCATCCTGAATGAGACACTAATTTGTAGAACATTTCAACACGAAAACAGATTTTGTCAAAAATTATCATCCACATTGTTTCTAGCTTCTGGGCATGTGTGTTGACTGGCAAAAAATTAAATTAAGGTGTACCAATCATTCACAAATTGTTCCAAATTGCACAAAAATAAAGACAATAACATAAGATTGAACAAAGGTCCAAGGACGAACTGTATCAAATCATGACTTTTTTTTTGTGTATGTTCTTGTTCCTATAATTCCTATTAAAAGAGGGACATATTTTACTGTGTTCTAAAGGTCTTTGATCAAAGGTAACTCTGGCACAAACAGACATTCTCAATTTAAAAATAGAACTTAGCTTAAAAGGAGATTATGCTGGCATTAATCCAACAGAGGAAGCTAAAATAAAATCAGTGATTCTTCTAAATGTTTAGCCACTCCACAATTCATTACAAATCCAACATTCTTCTATCAACTTCTTTCTCTTTCTAAAAGAATTATGGCGGTAACTGTTAGCAAAATCCAATATTTCTGATACAACGCAGCTATGGAGGTATTCATGACCCAGTATTGATTACAGTGGTGTATGTTTACCTGGTTTAATTTTAACAACATTCCTTACAGCCTTTTATTTTCAATACCAAGAGCTTAGGTAGTTAAACTGATTTTGTTGCTTACAGAACTGATCAGAGCTGTATTATAAAGGGGGCGAGAGTTGATACTGGTAACATGAAGCGTGAGAACCGAAACAACCCAAACAGGTCAAAATAGGAGAGATCTCAAAAATACAAACAAAATCCTTTGTAAAACTCCAAGAAAAGCACAAAATGGTTTAAATTAAGCCTAGCAGAAGTTCAGTGTATTAAAAAAAACAAAACAAAACAAAGCAAAACAAAAATAATTAGTGCAAAAAAAAAAAACAAAACAAAACATCAAAGATGGGATAGGAAAGGCAAGTGATACAAATCTTTCATTCACAAAATTCCTTGACAATAAGATCTCTTATCAAATCTATCAAAAAGTCTTAACCACAAAATCCAAACTGTTATCCACAGGTTCTTTTTAACTTGATAGTATCTTAGAATTCATCACCTTGCAAACAAAGGTTGAATGAAAAGCCTCTCTCATCTTATGAAGAAAGGACCAGAAATCATGTTTTTGTAGCACTACACTAGATTGTGTTGGAAAAACAAGCATACTTGAGCTAGCTTATTCATTAGTAATACCTACAAGTCATTTGTCAGTCCCGAGACAAAACATTCCCAAAGAACAAATGAAATAAATCACAATATTTGACCTGTAGGTGACAAGTGTCAGATTAAACACCCAAAATATAAGGCATCTGTAAAAACCACAGTGTGAATACAAAATACAGGCTTTCGTACTGCTTAAAACCTTGCTTCTCAAAGATTAATACCACTGCGAGTAGCAGGCACTGGGACAGGTCAATTCCTCTGCAAGAGAGCTGTCTGTTCAAAGTCATAAAGACTATTGTAAATAATTTCTTAGAATGCTTGTTGAATGCTAAAAATCCCAATCATGGCAAGAATGATTTGTCCATTCATCAAAATAAAATACACCATTGGATCACTGCGTCAAATCATAATAAATTTCTGTCAATAAACAAAACACACAAAACAAACACCTGAAGGAGCGTGCAGTTTCCATTTACACCATAATTAAATTCAGTTAGACACACCTGCCTAATGAACTTTCCACAAGGATGACAACATTGATAAACTTTCACATTGACAAGCAGTGAGAATAAGGAAAATTATCAGCTGGTTGTTAGTCTTGATAATTAATACATTAGAATCTCAGTACAATGCAGAAAGACATTCCAGTTGATACAGATAATTGGCAACAACTTAAAGAAGAAAATAGAAAGAGAAGCAACCCTTAAAGACAAACATTATTTACAAAAACTAACTTCTGCTTCATCTAACAGCTGGTAGCGACTTGACAAAAAAAACTCCTCACAGGGAGTTTCTGATGACGTCCACTCAATGTTCACATATACGTCAATGACAAAGAATCATCCAATCAAATAGAAATGTTGAACAAAAAGAGGTGACTGCCAGATTACTACATTTACAGTATGACAATTAATAAAAGACGGAAGTTGGACTCTGGCCAACAGGAACCCTTTTCTAAAGAAAACGTGTTCAGAGAGTAAAAGGAGGATTATGGGTCAACTTCACTCCTCAAGTAAAAGAAAAAAAAGTATGCATTAAAAGTGTTGCTTAATGCCAGTTCTGAGTTTCAGCTGGTGTCTAGGGAGAACCTCCATGGCTAATTCTAAACCAGTGTTGATTCTTCTCCACATACAAAATCTTGAATTCAAAACTTCTACCTCAGTGTGGTTGTGGTACTTAAGCCATGGTACTGTGGAGGTGTGAAGTGTGAAGTGTGAAGTGGGTGTTTGTAGTGAGAAGCTAATAAAAGGGGGACCACATAACGAGACCCCCAGGGCATCAAAGTCCAAATCTATTCATGCAACAAAAAAATGATATAAAAAAAAAATCCCTTTCCAAAGGGAAAAAAAAAAAAAAAGAAAAACAGCTTAGGAATTGGTTAATCCCTCAGATAATCATCTCCTTGCATGCACAACAATGAACTTAAGAATTTTTTTTTTGAGTGATTTTTTTTCTTTCTTTTTCCCCAACAAAAACAAAGGTTTTTCTTTCACAAAATCAACATGTGGCGTGGCAGGTAACATTGGCTTAGCAAACCACACTTCTCAGTGGTAGAGCACCAAGTACAAATCGCAAGGTTGAAGGTTTGATTCCTGCTGGTTGCACTTGAAGTTCTTTTTCAGAGTACGCTTTTGTCATTTAATGAATAGTGTCCATCTTTCAACAATGGCCATATTTACACGGGTAAGTTTCAAGCTGCTTAGTAAATGACTACCGGAAACCAAAGCAAACTGTTTGCTTTTTTAAGCAATTTTTTGCCAATTTTTTATGCAATAATTTCAAGCAACCTGGGACAGTTGGCAATTAACTGAAGTTAATTGTGGTTATTGATCTGTTAAGGCTGGAAACAGAACATGTGGTCCCTTTTTATTCTTCTAGTTCAGTACATGGCAAAAAAAAGATTTCACAATCTTTGAGGCTTTCCTTCTTCATATGATCCAAGGGAGCAATCTCAAATGTACACAACTGTCTGTTCGTTTAGCCTTGGAAAAGCAAAACAATTGGCTTCATGCCCACATAGTTTGCAGCTTCTCCCAGATTATTCAAACCGCTCAATTGCTTGCACTATCTCTTCAAAATTAATCTTATTGAAGAACTTTAATTTTACTTGTGAAAACATTGGTCGATCTAAAATTGCTTAAAACTGAGTTTGTAAAACAAAACAAGTTCAGGATTGTTCTACAAGACATCTAGTGTTGCGACAAATACAGTCACTTTTGTTTGCAACCTGGAACAGTAACGGTTTTTGTGACAAGAAAGATTGACAAGTTTCTTCCTAAAAAACTGCTACCTTATGCTTTAATGCAAAATTCTCAAACTCTCATTGAAGTTAAGCATCTTTGGCTATCTTTTTTCACACATTTTCACTGTCAGACCTCTTTTTCAACTTGCAGCAAGACATGTTAAACAAAAGAAAAGATAAAGAAGCAAAATGGTAAATTGTATCAACTCACTGAATACAAAATGTGTTTCTCATGCTTGAGAATAAATCACTACTTCAGACATTTATACAACTTTGTTCAGGGTAATTTTTGCATGAGATTAATTCTTGCAAAGAACCATAATCAAATCACGAAGAGTCAGTTGTTTTCTAGCGAATGCGTTACACCGGTCTTTTAGAAAATGAAACAAGTCCTGATCGACTGGTATGAGTAATTTGTTGTTAGCAGAACAACAATTAATTAATATGTAAATGAACTTCCATTATGTCAAAGTCATTTGTCAAAACAATTACATCACTCTGTGAGCATGTGGAATTTCCAATGCTCAAAATTAATGGCCTCTGTTTCAGTCTCTTCCCTTGTTCTGTTGATGACAAATAATTACAGAAACCATGCAAATTGCAGCTGTTTGTTTGCTAATTTCAACAAACATCCAGTGATAATGGTTTCCAGCAAAACCAACCAAAATAGAATACCAAATCAAACATGTTGTTACAAAATATTTTTGTAGCACTTGTTTCTGTATCAATCAAAAAATCACATCCACAACTTGGTGACAAGAGAGCTCTGAAGACATTTTCCCTTAGGGGGCTTTCAATACCATTTCGGATATCATGAGCTGTACTTAATCTATTCTAGTCTGGCATTTTAGATAGTAGACTCAAAATAAATCTTACAATCAACATCAAGTCGAATGACAAAAAAATAAAATCTCTATACCCAGAGTAGGAAAATTTTGTGCAATATTTTCTACTTCAACCGCACAAAAATGCAGTCAGAAAGTGTTTACTAACTCAAGACTACAAAATTTAGGTACACATCAGAAACCTACACAAACAATTCGTTTCAGAAGCATCTTGCAAATTTCAAATTGCAGACATATCTTGTACATGCAACCTAGACTATTCAACAGGTAAGCTAATGAAATTTAGTAGACATCATTCAACATCTATAACACACTGCTCCAATTCATATGCATGCATTTTGTTTTTCAGGCAGCAATTAGCCTCACTATCTCCAAATGAATCTAAATGGAGTGACTAGAAAGATAATAAAATTATTGAAAATGTATGTTAATAACGCAACACCTGTTGGTACAGAGAACCGGGACGGGAACAAAAGAAGAAACTGGAAGGAGAAGATGGGAGTATACAGCAAATCAAAACAGGATTATAGAAAGAGAAGTTAACTCACTACAGAAGCTTCTGTTTACTTATTTTTCGAATAACTAACGTCATTTATGGAACAATATACAGAAACGTTCCTTGCAGGAAATTGTCAATACCTATAATTTCAATAGCTGTCAATTAAATTGGTTTCCTATGACTGCGGAGATTGAAATAGGAAACTGCAAAACGCTATATAAAGGCAACGATGGCCCCTGATTACAATAAAAAATTTCCGTGTTTTTGGAAACGGTTCAACTTTCCCCTTAGAGTCAGCTCGTAGCCACTTCAAAAATTCGATATCTGGTTACGCGTGACAAAATTAACTTTTCAGCAGAAGAAAAGTAAAATTATTTTGTGATCACCGCCATGTGCATAGATTAATCTTCTGTGGTCAACGAACGAATTCACGTGTGACGAAAGGGTAACTAGTATTAGCTTTTTCACATGCAGTATCAGTCGCAAACCAGCGGATGAGAAGGAACACCTTAATAAAGGTGCTGAGAAAGATTTGACGATCAATACTCAAATTATAAACCTGACGCCGAGATCAATATGCACATTCAATGGCATTGGGTTCTACTTCAGTAAGTTCGACTTTGAAGCGATTTTAATAAGTAAATAAGGGAAGACGCTACATGAATTAAATCACTCTATGCGTAACAATATTGTACCCACTGGCACCGATTATTTGGCTTTACAGAGAGGGATTCCAGCTTCAAACAACGACAGGCAAAATAATAGAATCTGACTTCCAAAGTTCAGTCTATAACCTTTTGATTTCGCTTCGGAAATAGCAAAGACCAAAATAGCCCTGTCGAAACTAAAGACATTCCCTTTCCGATGTGTGGTGAAGGAATGAATGAAAAGCTTAAACATTTGGCAGCATTTTGATTCACGGCCAGTCATATCATCCGACAGCATATTTATTAATAAAATACGCGTTCGAGATGGTGGAAAACGGAACTCTTCGAAGCACGTATTACATATTTTCACCTCTCGCAATCTGTGCCGATCGCTAGATTAATGAAGTACAAAACTTACATAAGCTTACCTTCTGGTGGTTTACACGCACTACAAAATGTCGTCCTTGCTCGAGTTTCGGTGCCGAAAAATTGATGTACCTCGCGTTTGACCATTTTCTTCAAGTAATCGCGTGTACATTTGTTCACTTTACAGTTCTTCTTCCTTGGCGAGGTAAATGCTGGCCTTGTCGGATCAGTATGCGAAGTACTCCTCCGCGAGATGTGGATTGACGGCATGCTCTGTTTAGAACGCGAAAAAAAATTATTACTCAAATAAGCATCTCTCGGATTTCACATCAAACATGGAAAATTTAGTGAGAAGGTGAAATTGCACACCAGTGTTGGAACGCAAACCCGACGTTTCGTACGTCGTATTTATACGTTCAGTGTTCATTTGCTTTCAATTCTTCCGACATATTACGATCAGTTGGCACAAACAAATGGCACGTACCTTTAGAAGAGTAGGAGGAGAGGTAACATTTGTTGGTTCGGCAGCAAACGTCGATTGACTCGAATTGCCTCGCAGAGCAGCAAATTTAGTTGGTTGTTCGACCAAAGGCAATTCGAGTTTCTCCAAACGCGCTTGTAAGGTCTGTAGTTGTATAAATACAACCGCAAATAGTGCAACAAAAACAATATTAAACACAAAGGATAGACATAGGAGTTGCGGCATGGTTGGCCCAACATTTTCGCATGTACAATTTCTCCGCGACGAACGCGATGAGTGTTCAACGATCGTCTCTGTCTTCGGACACTCCATACTTCCAAATGGAGATCAAACCACGTGTGAATGGCGCTTGGGCACTTTTCCACTTTAAAACATCCCTGCCGAAGCTACAGTCTTCCATACGAATAACAACTCCACCGGAAAGAGAAAAATCGGCGATCGCGAAAGCGAATCACACACTTCCTCTTCGCTCTGTCGTGTGACCTACAGTCAGCGTTGGTACCAGTCAAGTTTGCGTACCCTCAGCTCGCGCCAAAATTCTGTTGATAACAATAGCCAAGCGCACGTCAGTATTCGCGGAACAACGTCCACGTGTGTATCCGATGAAAACAAGTCACTGCCAAAACATAGGCGCCTTCCACCAATCACACCCCGCATAGGGTGGATAACGATCTCATATAAATAACCGGTGATTGGTGGAAAACAATGGGCCTGATTCATTTCACACTTGTGGGCCAATAGCATTGTTGGTTCTATGGCGATAGAAAACACTTAAAACGGTTTATTTAATTGATCAATTGTCATTCAAATTCGTCGCTGCTGACGGGTTACAAAGCTGAGTGATTTTGCAGCGGACACTGAACGAATGCATGAGGTTGTAAACGGTTGCGGGACCTGAGCGTGAAATACTCCACCAGTTTAGCACATCCGCTCGCGGTGTGTATATCTTTGAACTCAATCATTTGTAAGCGAAATTGTCATAGCCTTGACCCGAGTTGGCCAAGCACTTGGATGGATGCCAGAAAAAAGCACATGGAATTTATTAACCAGTGTCATAAACTATTAAGAAATGGCGTGACATCTCTGTGTCTTGTCGACCATTGCATCGTAAAGCGATGAAGTCATGTTATATGGGGGTGCAACCTTATTGACAAACACTCGAGGGCGTTGCCGATTGATCTAGGAAGCGATAGCGAAATCTTGTTGTAAACTCCCTCACGCTCGCTCTTAGCCTTTTTTTTCACGATCAAACGAAATGTAAACAGCCAAAACAACACGAGATAAACAGGAAATTGTTAATCAAGTGTTTTAGAGGAAATGACAAAACATCTTTGTGAACTTGACGATTTGCGTGTGTTGCCCAATATTTGTTGAGCAAATTCCTCGAGAGTTGCGCAGGCAAACGCAGCTTCATTCTAGCCGTGACTGGGAAAGCTCGAGAAAGCGATGATCCTCCCACTGGCAAACATACTTCCGATCTGTGCCACAGGAGCGGAAGTCCGTAGAGGTGCACAATGAGAAATTTTGAACGGCTTTCATCGATCATAGTCAAAGAAAATTAACTACACTTTACAAAGTTGTCCAGCACGCGCGCGCGCACGAAATGTTTAATTAGTGTACTCTGTCGTGAGGGAAAATAAATCGACCCTATCATACTGAGTTCCGACTGGCAACTTAATACACCGATTCTGAATGATGGCAAGCAACCGTCACTGATGGGAAAAGGATAGATTCCAAGTTTATGCCTAGCTTAATCTTTATCTAATCTTAATTCGTTAAAACAATAGCAGATGAAATTTTACAGGAACCTTGTGGCAAAACAGAGACGCGCACAAAGACGTTATCACAATCGATGTGGCCAATTCGGGGAAACAACTCGACATTTCACGACAAGCAAACTCCAAATTTCGGAAATCCTTGAAATCGAAGGCAAACGAATCGGTAAACAAAAAAATCAAGATTTTTGCCACACATCCGTACACAAAAGATTCCTTTTTTTCGCAGTAATCACCTCTTTAATTCACGGGGACTGTTTGTGAAACACAAGCAAATAAAAACTTTCTGCAAACGAACAGAGCGCTGTTTATTTTGGCATCGATATCAAACAGATTAATCCACAAGTTCTTGGTAGAACTGTCTTTAGTTCAGCTCAGAAGTTGATTGTTATTGTGCAAAGACCTCCTCTTAACATAACCACCAAGACATTGGTAATACTCTGCTAAAACGAGCGGGCACGACAGACGCATAAAAGAAGCTCAGAAGCCTGGTCATGCTATGCATCGGGCGATAACAGGTTTAACGGAATAAGTATGTTTTCATGCCCCCCTGAACAGGACAGATCGAAATAAAGCTATTTTGAAGACGGCCAAAAAATAATACAGGATATAAGTGAAAATTCGATCGCTTTTTCGTTTCCATCATCGATCTATCACGTAGCTTTGGAAAGGTTAAGATAAATTGTGAAATCAAACTGCTTCTTGCGTGATCTCAACGCACCGTTTACGTATTGTTAACGGCGTTAAGAATCCCGGTTAATATGCGAGCTGCTAATCCCTTCGTAGACGTCTAGGAATCGTTATTTCTAACAACACCGAAAGGAAACACACCACGCAAGTTTTGTGTTTCAAAATTTCGGGCAGCCAAAAAGGAAATGATTGTTTCGCGAGCGATTCCTTTTGGCTTTGGGGCACACGCCCAACACACCCCAGAAGAACGGGAACCAGAAAAAAAAATCCACAGCCGACTTCTACGCGCTTTTCAGGTCGTACTTTGTCTTCGGGATACCCAGGAACTTAGTGTCCTATCTATGCATGAACACTTAACGTCGACAACATTTCATGGCAGTAAAAATTTCGGTCAAAGTTGGATTCATTTCTTGGCACTTCACAATGGATTTCCTCTCCTTTTCTTTCCTTTCCTTTCAGCCAGACAAGCACGACGATACGATAAGTTTTCCTTCTGTTAAACCTCTGGACCGCACTCATCATTCCTTTTCCCTAATCCTGAGTACAAAACCGCGCAAAAATACGTGCCTGCTTGCCCACTTCCTATCTACGATAATTAATATTGAGTGGAGGAAGGAAAAATTCGTCAAATAGGATTCAACCGGATAAAAAGGCAAGGAATAAACTGATGATAAAGATTACTGAGCACTTGACTCAGTAAAAGATATGATAAGGAAACACGATTAAAATCGACCTATTGGAAGATTCTAGCGCTTCAAAGATGACAACTTTATTAAATTTTACGAAACCCCTCCTTACTAAGAAAAACATTTTTAACATAAAAAAAAATCCTAGAATTATCTTATGACAATTTTCAGCTATTCGTGAAGAAGTTAACATTGTAAATATTCAAGATTTCCTTCGAATGTAGCAGAAAAGTTTGCTGAAGAGAAGTTACTGGTATGCAACGTGTTTACTCACAGTAGAGAGAAAAAAAAAAGCTTTTCTCAAGCATTAATTGACACATGGGTAGTCATTAGTGTATCGACGGACCTAAAATCTCCCCAAGTTTAATTCATTGCAACACGAGAAAACTGCTCAACAGGGCGGATGAGATGTCTTATGTACACATTGTTAACACTTATATTTACAATAGTGAAGCTTTTGTGTAAATAAGTTTGATTTGATCCACAAGAAGCAAGGCAGCGTCACCAAATGCGCTCAGTAGTAGAAGATACCATAGGCTGCCACAACGCAAAATAATGTATCCTATCGAAAGAAAGAACAGTTAACAAACAAGTCAAGTGGAGTGAGGGTTTCAGTTAGAAAACCCCAAGAGCCACCTGCCTAACTAACAACGCCTGCATGAAATAGTTGGCTGGGCTGTACCTTTGGGGGGGGGGGCTCTGTTTTGTTTGTAAGAAGTGGTGGCAATTTGCCAGAATAATGGGTTCCTGATGGGAAACAAAAGCGGTGTCACGAGAAGGACTCATAAACAGGCAAAGAAGAGTGATTACGAAATATTAAAACATCACCGAGAAAAAGAAAATAAAACAAATCGCACGAGAACTCGGTTAATTTTTTTTTTTTTTTTTTTTTTGTACAAGTAACTTGAAGCAAACTGCATTGTTAAAAAAAAAAATAAAACATCTCCCTGAGATAAATTAAATAAAATAATCGTATTTTTTTTAAGTTCGTATCTGACACTGCCTTCACACAAGGCGCCTCCTTAAGTAGCCAGAAGTTACACTATCGGGTAAAAGACACGAGGACAAGCAAAGAGTCAGCGATTCCCACAACCAATCAGAACACTGGATGAAAACTCGCACGCTCACACGGGCTGACGCCTTATACTGACGTCACGTTGCTAAGCAACAATTTGCCGGCTTGGCGAGCTGTCTGAGGCGGTCCGTATGCTTGTACACACTTGTGAACCGTCATCAATCCAAAAATATAAAATATATTACAATTGAAAGAATACAAAGAGAGGTTCTTGTGTGGCAAGGGCCCGCCGACAGCAGACTTCACCGCCTTTTTAATTAGGCTGCTTCCGCAAAATGCAATTTTGTCCCTCAAAGGAATATCACTGAGAAATTTTTCGAAAGTATGAACGCGCACGTACCAAAAAAAGCGAATAAACTTATCTGCACCGCTCTAGTAGGAATCTCCGTTACGATAATGACTTCGAGATTACCACTCAACCAGGCTCAAAGTATTTTAACCCAGAAAGTTCATTGAGTACTTAAAACTTATCCTAAAGAAAGCGGCTTCATACAGTCTTGTTGTTCCTTCATGAGTCGCAAGTCAAATATTTTACTGTAAGCTGCACCAATACAAAACATTCAGTCGATGTACCAAACTAGGTGCAACTTCTCGGCGAACAATCGGGAAAGCAATCTTGAAGGTTATGACTATTCAGAGATAATTTTTTATTTCAAAGCCGGGCGAAGCATTGATTATGGCTCAAGGGTCGCCCCGTAGAGCAATCTCGTCTAGCAGATATTTCCTCTACCGCTGGTGAACAAAGACGGATCACGACAAATTCTTAAGCAAGAAAGACGGTATGCGACTGCAATGTACAAGTCTGACACCAAATACATCGTTTGTCTTTCATGCCCGCAGGGGAAAGAAAAGATCGCAAGCATGACTAAAAGTTCGGCTTGGACGATCAATCTATTTTCCTAAAGCAGACCAACATCGACCTGAACTTAAGCAGGCTTGCTTTGCCCTGGGGAACGGCGGTACAAACTTTTATAAACAATATAACTGAATGACACGTTTACCGCGCTACGCCGAAGGAATATATTCTAGGCAAAGCGAACGAGCATTATCATGAGGTGAGCCTGGGCGTGCGGCACGCACGCAAACTGCACGCACCGTCCACGCAGCTAGAGTTACTCCAGGAAAGGCGTACATCATGTAAGAGTAGTTTCTTGAGATGAGGTAGGGTCGCTGGGTCAAGGCCTAACACCCAAACACAGATCGGTTTTCTAAAATAGGCGTGTGCGGGTTGAATAATAATTCTGGACCTTCTGCCAGTGTAGGCACTGTGTACTTCGCCCGTTTCTTTCGTGCAACGCATAACAACAGACAATGAAACATTTGGTCTTTGATAACTCGGTGAATAGAACACTTAGTTACTGTTTAATCTATTTTTCTTCCTTTTGTAACATTCTTTCACTTTGTATCATCAATTCTTATGTACATTGCTGCAAAAAAGGAGTTTTTTTCGCTATTGCAGACAAAAACAAGTTGCAATAAAAACAGGAAAAGATTCACAGTATTGTATTACTCATGGTAAGTGTTTCTAAGATTAAAAGCGCTAAAAAAAGATTGCACTGGAATTGATAGCGCACCAACAGCGCCCTCATACGGCTTAATAAACTACCGCTGGTGTGCAGCAAACTTGGCGCTGTCGTCCAGGTCGATGTTGATTAACCTCTTTGAAGCTCTTTTCCGGAAAGAATACGAGGGCGCAATGCGCTGAGAACTTTCCAATGCTGAAATTGCCCTTAATCTAAAGCTGGGCATTTTGGGACAAAACCGAGCGCTTTTACTTTTCCTTGGCCACAATAATGATAATAATGATAATACTTCTAGTCTCTAACTGTATTTTACGGAGACTGGATCTTGTAATAATAGCACTTGCATTACCCTGTAACAAAAACAATGCCCAGTTTGACATTTCGACATCTATGAGCCCCCGAGTCAATTTCGAGACGAAAATCAACACTTGCTATGTTTAACAACCACTAGATCTTGTGTCTGGTTGATATGAACCAAAACCTGTTATCTATCTGGGGTCAACTCACAGGAAAAATGGCGCCAGCCCCAATAAAGGGATGAGTGGCCATGCTTCACAAACAAAACCATTATATTTTTCGCGCGACACGTGCTCACGGGCACGTGCACGCACGCCTTCAAGATTGCTTTCCCGTCAAATAGTTTGGATTCAGAAAAAAATAGAAGGTCGTTAAGATACAAAGCTTTCTTATTTGAGAAGGGTATGAAAAAGAGAACGCAGACTAGACACTCCCTACGGCACCACCGCTGTGAAACTGACCTCAGTTACAGCTATCGCTTCATCCATTTCTGGTACCGCATTCTTGAGGAGGGTGTGGTTGCTCAAAAAAATGCTTGTGAAACCAAATTAACAGATCCCAAACATCGACTGAAATTTATTATTCAAGTTCTTTTTTGACTTCGCTCTTCTTTGAAATAAACTCCATCGAAGTGACACAACAATAATACGTATTTTCAACGATAGGGAGGTTCAATTGTAGTACGACGCGCTCTTGTTTTCCTCTCTCTTTTATTTTTTAATGTCCTGTTATTTAATCTTTTTGCAAGAGCTATCTGAACAATTCCTTTTTTGGTCTTCATGAGACGCACACAGCAGCGTACAGGAAATCACTCTACTTTTCTTTTGTTTCTAACCTCTTCATCGTAATACACTCTTGCATAGAAATAGCGATGTAAACAAAACGTTAATCTGCCCTTCAAACTCACGTGTAACGTCCTCCAAATTGGAAATGAATAAATACTCCGACTTGTTTGTTTGTTTTTTTTTTTTTTTTATGATGGAAGCAAGGTCTACGTTGCCTTTACCAAAAACAGTAACGTGAAATATACCAACCGGCTTTCATAAATTCAGTGCATTTAGAAAGGTCGTATTTCGCGGTTTTCGGCAATATGCAATTGTAAATTTTCGTTTTCTTTTAAAGTTACCTTGGCCGTTAATTCTAGATAATGACCATACCGGCGAAATGATTAAGTAATTTGCGACGGGCCAACATAAGGTGAAGTCCACAAATAGGATTGAAAACAATTTGATTAATCGAAGAAAGTTTGATCTTTGGTCGGCGAGTCGATATTCCAATCGCGCTCAAAGTTGAAGAGAGAGAAGTTTACTTTCGGAGTTGTAACAGCTCCCAAGCAACGCAAACCAAAAAACAAACTATTCAGAGGTGTGTTCAACAATGCAGAAAGTTGTCTGAAGAGAGCAGTGGGGGTGCTTAAATACAAAGAAGGAGCTCTAAACAAACTTGAAATGTGAGAAGAATTGAGACACGCAGCTCGATTAATTGTTGCTGTCAGCTGTTGGCTTCAGGCAAGAAACACAATGATACTTAATAACAGAGTAAGGAAAAAAATTATCGCGGTTTAACAACACAATAAACTCAATTTCAGGATTAGTTGCAACAAGGTTCTCACAAGTAATCCGGGAGATAAATGCACCACCTGAAATCGTGATAAAACGGAAAGGAAAACAAGTCGCTGATTTCGCCCTTAGCGGGAAAGCACAACTTACGCGACTCATATAGAATAAATGGTAGTGAGTACTGGGATAAACACACAGTTTCTCCTAGTCATGATTTTTTTTTTTATCGATCGAGAGCGCAGAATATCCAGGTCACCTTGAACTTTAAGCATATGCAAAAACAGGTGGAAGTGTATTCAATGTTTAGTTTCATTAGAAGTTTTTCGAAACTTCCATCGATCAACAATAAACAAACTAAGCCAAAAACAACCTCGGAAATAAAATTACGATATTATTCAGAAAGGGTAATAATTCGACGTGTTAATTTTTCATCGGAAAACTTTTGAAAATCCGTAAACAAGTTCATCAACGGATTATAAAATCAGCCTAGCCACCGCAATTACGGAAACGTGATCCGCAAATCTGTTCACAAGGAAAAACATGCTCACAAATCAAAGCAAAACACCGCTCGCTTTGCCTCGTGGCAGGAGCGTCTTCGCAAAACGCACGTGTTTGCGTTTCATACCTTGAGTCCATATACAAAACGTCAAATTACATCTATACAAAACACGCAGCAAGGCCAACCCCATGTGCGGATAATTCTTAAGGATATGCTCTAGTGCCAAGCGCCCCGCGCATTTTACCAAGATGGACATCAAGTGCACTGTTTACCGTTTACGTCAGTACGCAAGAATATATTGGGACGCTCAAAGAATACCGAAGTATTTTACCAAAGGGGGCTCAATTGTCTCCGGTAGCTCACACCTCGTTTATTTCCCATTAGTTCACCCACATGAAGAGTTAATAGGCTACAAATCTCGTCGACACTGCTCGTGCTTAACAAGCAGACCAAGGACTGATTCGCGCCCCCAACCGCAAGAGATGATTAAATTCCAGCCTAAGTAAGGTCGTGGGAATAATCCGTGAGAAAAATAGATGTAGTGCGTACAAAGCTTTACATCATTCATCTTATTCTGTTTTATTAGCAAACACACCTGTCGTGGTTTGGCTTGCATTGTTTCACGCGCGCACTGTTTATATAACAGTGGCCGGTTCGGCAGTTGTTGATCGCCCGGCCGTAACTGGATTACGCCGTCTCGAAAACTTGCAAATTTAAAGCCACTTTCTTCCTCTGCAATATCGCAAAACCTTCCACGCCGACACTTGATTAACCAAACCTCATTCACCGCGTGAAAAAAAAAATAAGAAATGATTGCCTCACACATCACGCGCGAAGGAAAATGCATGTACAATGCCCAATAAAAGAAAGGAAAAGGGAAAGAACGGCGTTGACAAAGGCTCGTTACGCAAGACCTCAAATCAAGCGACATATCAGTGAACAAGTCACTTGGGGCATTCCAAGACATTATTAGTTCAATAATTACTTAGCGGCTACGAGCATGAAGATTTTATTGTCCGTCGACGCCTATTTCGAACTGTGTCTTTAAGCGTCGCTTATACAACCATCTCTACACGTGTCCACTTCTAAATTAAAGCTACTGTCTTGAAACAATTTTGGCTGATAAACAAATTTGTAATATTGCGAGATATTTAGTGTTTTCGTGCAGGCAGCTCCACAGGAAACTGTCTACTGTAGAAACTAAGTTAATTTCGCCCAGACAAACACTCCAATTAACGGTCGCTAGAAGGGGGCCGAATGGCAGTAAAAGACCACTGTAAAATCCCAAATTTGTGACCGCCAATTGGTAATAAACCACAACTCTGCGAAGACACAAAAGAACTCGCCGTCTAAACCGCTTGGCGGGAAATAAGAATGAAAACAAAGCGTATTTTTACAACACAAATAGAACAATCCAGCTGGGTCGACAAACACCTGCTAAAATGAAAAAGACGCACTCATGCGTCTAAATTAAACTTCTGCTTTGTAAAGTTGTTTTTAAGAAATACTGTCTTTGTTTGGGAAGGGGGCGCGGCCCTATTTCGACCAGACGAGCACTAGGTACTCTTTTTACGAGATTATATTACATGCTCAGAAGAATGATCTTCGGTCGATTTTTCCCTTATTCTCGCGCAGAAAAAAATTTTACCAAAAGTTAACCTAACATCCTAGCTTTCAATAAACTATGCCCTCAATTTCTGTCAACAAACGATTCGCACAAGTGCGCACGGCGTGCAAAAAAAAAAAAACAAAACAAAACAAAACAAAACGGGATGTCACGTCCGAAAGAAAAGGGACGTTCTCTCATTCTTAAAGTTTGCTGTTAGGTAAGTTTACTATGACATCTTCATCAAAAAAAGTTAGTAAAATATTCTAGTTGCAGAGCAACGGTTAGAAAGCTATGCTTGGAGAACAAACATCTCAGATAGCTATGAAATTTCGAACACACAAGCCGGCGCTATCTTTAAGATCGAAAATTGACTCGCGGTGAAAAAAAGAAAAACCTAACCTGAATTTCATTGGAAATGCACGCTTTTGGAATTAAAAAGTTCCTAGAATATATTGCCGTTTGTGAGTTGGATTGTTTCTGGATGGAAATTGAAACAATACGAAGGGAATGAATGACTTTAAGTGTTGATTGACCCACTTTTCAGTGTAGGAGAAACCGTTTGTCGATAAAATGTACAGGCTAGACACTTGATTTGCTACGAATAAATGAATTGCGAGTCTAAAAAGGACTGCCTCGAGATCAACAGACGTTATCAGATGTAAGCATGCGAATTAGGTTTGGTCGGATTCGCCAGTAATTTATTCAGGTCGTAACGAAGCTGTTTAGCGCAGAGGACAAAGTCTCTCGACGAGTGAGACCTTTTCCGTTGGGCAGTGACATAACTCAAGCGATGCATTCTCTGTTGAAAGAAGAACTTGACATCGACTAGTTTAACTGACAGAACTTTCACAAAACTAACAGCGAGGAAATTAATTTGGGGTTAAATTGCAAACTTAACTGAATGGAGTCCCGTAATAGCTTGTCATTGAGTGTGTCAGTTCCTTGGTGCTGCTTGGTAGAAAAAAAAGGGAAATTACAAGAAGTGGGTGAGTAGCAAACTTTTGGCATAAAAGATGTATGAAAATATGTAAAAGGGTTTGTAGTTACACTGTTCAACACAGCAGAAAGCGGAGAGTTAGAATGAGTTATCAGCAAGGACGTACATGTACTTAAATCAAAATTTAACGCAAATGAACAATCCGGACGCTTTCTATTCGATTAACAGAAATGATCCACTATCCTGCCATTTCGAAGAAAAATGTTATCACGTACAACATGAATAACGACACTTCTAACAAATTAAATGAACAGTGCCTGCGGAGAAAGTTTCACGAGCAACTTTTAGAAAACTGAATTTATCTAAATAGTGATCTACGCCCGCTTTGTAATTAATCCAACGTGTTCTTGAGCGCGATATGTTTTTCCCTCAGGCGATCCAAAGCAATTTTTTTTTTTTTATAAAAATCGGCTTGTACATCTTTCGATATCAAACTATATCATTCGTGACGCTAAAGAACTTCCGAAAGTTAAGCCCACGATGATAAATTAGCTTTAATTACCATACTCCAGATCAGTTATCCTTCACTTCTAATCATACCTATCTGATAATGTAGGGATTTTTCTAAAGCTTCTCTGCGGTTCGACTATGGAAAGTTATCACTATTTACTCAGCTCATACGTAGAAACATAAATTCCGAAAAAAATGGAGAGTGGGTGTACGTTTTTTCTTCGTGTCAAAGCCTTTAATCCGCTAGTTATTAATCCTCGCTGTTAATGTTTTGACCTGAAAAACAGCCTAAGTACCTTAAGCAGCTTTTAATGAGTGTAAAATTGAAAGAATGCAGACAACCTCAAATTAGTTGGGAGCCATGGATATGTGGCTTCAAATGCTTTCCTACCAAATCCTTTTTTCTTTATTAAGAATAATAACATTACCTAGCACGAACGTCTTATCATGCACGCAAAGACGGCTTTTCTTCAATTCTTAAGCTAGCGGTATAAAACAGGTACTCTTCAAGCTGTTTCTCTGAACTTATGTACCTAGATGAGACAGTAAATGACAAATTGAAATACCCCTCTCCTTAAAAATTTAGTTCTGTTTCCAATCCAAATGTCTGTTAATTTTCCAAGGGATAATTAAGTAATGCAGTTTTAGAACAATACCGTTGTTAAAGTCGGGGTAAAGACAAATTTGAGCCAAAGATTTTTCGTATCATGCTCAAAATTCTTTGAGTTATGTCATGATAGAAAGGCTGATTCAAACTACAGGAAGATAAATTGTTTACACGCACAATACTAGACTATCATCGACAGTATCCAGACCCCCTTGGCATTGGACACCCAAAGAATTGGGAAAAGTTTTCGAAAAAAAAGGAAAAAAATTTGGGGAAACCCGCAACCGTGCAACAGAGTATTGTAGTCATGTACGGGATCATAGAGTTTGGAACATCATTTATTTCGCCTTGTAGTTCACAACACGTCTTATCAGCAACATCTAACGACTACCGTCCGAGGATTTAAGAGACCCCATCATCCTTTTTTTACCACTTGTGTTTGCTCCAAAATTGGTCCGAATTCAATTGCATGCGTGGGTCGAGCAAAACATACTGATAACCTGGTTTCATGCTCAGCATTTAAGAAATAACTGGTGGATTTTGCGTAATATAATTCTCTACCATTCTAGAATTTGCTCTAAAATAGTGTGTTTATTAAACAAGTGGGTCCTGAAGCACATAACTTTCATATGTTAAATGTATTTTAATATATTTGTAACTTGGTTCTGTTGAAGGACTTTATGTTATGCATTTATTGGTTACTCCAACATTAATGTTCCAAAAATTCTTCCTCTCCATTTATACTTAAGGGCCGAGGAAAACACGTTAATAAACTGACCCTAGTAACAGTATTTAAGGTGTACGGTCAAAGGAATTAAACTCAACCCTTCAGTGGTGACAAAGATTATTTTCTCCAAATGTGGTCTGTATTCCTTTCTGCCCCTGGAAACTGTCTATGTCACTTTTCATGTCTTGTTCCATGCAAGGTTCTAATGGGAAACGCGTTCCGCGAGTTAACGAAAAATGGCGCAGCTCTCAGTCAAAAAGTAAAGTGCAAATTCTAAATTAACTGCAACTTGCTTAACGTTTTTCTACTATTCCATCATTAGCTACCCTGGTATTGCAACATTCCAAGAGCATACGCAGTTTAAACGCAGATGCACACAAAATGAAAACTTCGAGAGTGAACAGCCAACACTGACAGCGAGCATGGAAGGTGCGGAAAGGAGGTAAAGTGCTGAGCTGATCAAGACTGAAGAGAAATCGAAACGCAAGCAGTGGACAAGACTGATAACGAGCAAGAAGCAAGAAAGAAGTGAAAAGAATGTGAAAAGTTGGGTTGATCAAAACAGAAGAGAAAACCAAAGACGAAGGCAGCGGACAAGTTGTTTTTCAAGAATCAGGAAGGACGAGATGTCGCACACAAAACTGTCGCATGGAAACTAGGACCCATAAGATAGAAGGAAGACTAGAGGACGGATCCACTTCAAGAAATGCACAATAGGATGGCAAAGGAAACGAAGGGGAGGAAGTGGGCAAGTCGTGCTCTAGGAATCAAAGAAGGGACGCAACACATATTAAACGATCAAGTGGACACAGAGAGTAACGGAGCAGTGAGAAAGACCAAAGGAACAGCATGGCTTGAGACACTACAGCACAAAAATAATCAAATGAGCTTTGTTGATTGGAGTGTGAGGCTGAGGTATCTGCTATTGCCTGTTATAAAAACGGTAGAAGAAAGCGGACTTCTTCTACTGATCCCCATCATGGCTGTAGGAAATGATGCTAAAACTGTCTTGCCAAAGAATTGTTCACAAATCGATAGTGCGACTGTGAGCTGTTCATTTTTTAGGCCGGGCCGACATGTATTGATTAATGAGTAGGTTTGCAACCAGTATTAAAAAGACAAAACCAAAACTGAGCTCAGAGAAGTAAATGCAATATATAACTGACTCAAATGACCGATGGATAATGAATCACGCTATACTGCATCCTTACCACGGATGACATAGATTAATGCTAACTTTCCCTTCTGTCCGGCTGGATGTACTTTTGGACTGCAAGCAAGTTATTAGGAACTTGCTAATTAATAAGATTCATCATAATTATTGTGTCACACTTCCTCAAGGTTTCAAGATCTCACTAAATGCAGGCTAGCCTAGAATGTTCACCTCTCTGCTGAAAAACGAATTTCAATGAATTTGTTACCCACGCAAAGTAAAGAAACAACAGCAACCACTGAACCTGGAATAAATTCTCACAGCGTTTATGACTTCTGTCACCTACAAAGTTGGCAAACTTGTTCTGTGACCATTTACCTAATCCGTAAGCTTGCACAACCTTCTCTAAACTTTTTTCCATGAGACAGGAATTTCTATCTTATGTTTACTGCAGCTGTACTTCCTAAGAAATTTTCCTCAAGGTTGTACCATTGAATTCACAAGAACTTAACAAAAAAAATGAACATTTCTTGATATGCTTTGCAAAAACAACAAACAGGTCAGGGTTTCCAAATCATGCAAGTGCTCAGCCTCAATGGCCTTAGTGTGATATGGCGTTGATAAATGAGTGTTACATGGGTGTATTTTGTTTGCGTGAGAGAGAGGTTCTCCTCGATTGTTTTTACCCACCCCACCCCACCCCTTTTCTCCCTTGTGGGAGTTTCATGGCTACACCGCCAGATATACCAAAAACACGTTTTGTTTTTGTTTTGTTTTTTGTTGTTGTTTTTTTTTTTGATGTTGTTTTTTTTGGGGGGGGGGGGGAGGGGGAGCTGGTCTCTCAACATACATGTCATAATCAGAAAAAAAGAAAAAGAAATACAGTATTCCATGGAGTAGTCCTGTGATTTACGAAGTTTGTCAGTAAGGTCCAACTGTCTTAAATCTTAGTTCTACCAGAAGCAAATCTCCAAACGTCACTACTCAAAGCCTTAATTGACAAAGTAACTTTTCACATAAAAAATGCGATGATTCTACTCCCAGTCACCCATTTGAGGCTTTCAAACTGTTTGCTGCTACCCCCAAAAATGAACGACATAAATTTGAAAAAAATGTACATGTAAAATTCTTGACAAACTCTTGCTTTTGCACTTGGCGACTGCTAACATGAACAACGAACAAAGGGAAACTTCCAGGGAAGAAAGGGTTGACACCAGCACCTAGGTCAATATTTTTTCACCAAAACTTCCCAAGGGGGACAGGAGTAACTAAGTTCACATTACTAGCTGCATTTTCTTAATACCAAACTGGTCTGCCTAGTACCTGTTAGGATTGTGACTCTCTCTCAATCTATTGCACCCTCGAAAAGGTCTGACCAGGGACCTGTTTCTCAAAAGTCCCTATAACTTAACGGGCCCAAAACCATATTTTAAAATCAAAATTTAAACAAGAGAGAAGCAGTTTCTAACACTCTAATTAGTCCATCTTGTATTTTTAGCTTATAGCTTTTTTGTATCATTTTCAAAACCTCTGAACCTTATGAAAATAAGAACAGCTTTACAGGCCAGTTAAGTTGCCTGGACCTTTGAGAAATGAGCCCCAGGTGGGAAACAGTTGGGAAAAATTGATGGTAAATTTCTAAGGGCTATGAAGGAAGTAATCATCTGCCATATTCTGGCTGGTTGTCATATGCAATATACAAAAATGCAAAAATAAATGTATATCAATACAATAGTTACTACCTAAGCAGAAGCAAGTAAAAGTCATGGCTGGCAAAAGAAATTATTCTTTTGCACAACTGTCCCCTCTGTCTGTCTCCATTAAATTCTTTCAATCCCTCATCATTGTATATACTAAGCTTGATGTGACTGTTAATGGCAACACCAAGGTTATGAAAATGAAGACAGCATCTTTGTGCAAGCTGTATTTTAGCTGCAATTCTTAGCTTGCCACCTCACTGATATGAATTTGACTAAATACAGGGTTCATACCCTTTTTCATAAACAAATTTCAAGGACTTTTCTAGGACTTTTCCAGGCTCAGATTGATTTTTCCAAGACTCCAAATTTGACATTAAACCTTTTCATTCTCAAGATTTCAAAATCAATTCTCCTCACTGCCTATACATATTTCTCATATCCTAGATTTTTWAAATGTTTATTGCTTGATTTAAGCTGATTACCACGACTATCTAGAACCTGTATTCTTTTCTCAGGACTTTCCAGTCCTGGAAAATGTCCAAATAAAATTCTAGAACCCTGTAAATATGAGCCCCGCTTAAAGTTATCTCTGTTCTAAGGGAAACTAATTCAGATAATTTACTACCAATTGAAAGAACATAAACTTTGTGACAGTCTTTCCTGCCTCTGTCATCTTAGTACTAAAACTGTACTTACATTCATGAAAATATCTTGTGCATAATTGTCTGTGTCTGAGTCCCACAGGCATCTGCATGCTACCCTGAAAATTTAATTTTCATGCATGCTAGTACAAACTTCTGGTATGCAAGGTCAGATTTTTAGTCACAATGAAAGTGACAGATACAGTGTTATGTCCCTGAATGAGCATATTTTCATGGAGGGTTGCAGAAAGTTCACTTTTCTGTGTTCTTTGATACGACTTAAAGGACAAACAGAAATATCCTTTCTTCTGTAACAACAGGAAAATGCTCCTTTCTAGGTAAATTTTAAAAAGAGACCTTTGTCATATTTGACACAAGGTTTGAGAATTGGGGAATATCACTCAAGGAATATCACTCAAGGAATATCACAGGATATCTCTCTGCTTTAGCTGGTATGAATTTGATTACATGATGTATCTCAGGGGCCAATTGCACACACAAAAATATTTTATGGATTGGTATTGTAAATATGCCCCATTATTATCTAACTACACCTACACGAGTACAAATAACACCATAGACAAGTACAAATTGCACGTGCTATTTGTACTCGTCTATTTTAGTACTGGTTAAAACAGGTTTTCTTGCATCGCGCAAGCAAAGAATTGGATTGTAGTTACGAAAAAAAAAACAAATGATGGACAATTTGAATCATATTTCTGACGACGAAAAGTCAGAATGGCTGGCAAATATAGATCCAGGTTCATTAGATGAATCGAACGAAGAAAAATAGCTTGACGACCAGAAAATTTCTTCATTTAATGAAGAAAATAGAAACAGCAGCACAACAACGTGCCAATTCCGTT